TGCCAAACACGACACATAATTATGTTGACACAAGTCCCCCATCCATTCTTCAAAGTGCAAAAATGTCAATGTGTCCCCAGTGTTCATGGTTCTGACACAGTCCAGGGCATTTATGGGGGAAACTGAAGGGGTGCTCGTTCAGAGCTGGAGTGTAGGATGTAACAGGACTTGAAGGAAGGTAGTGAAGAGGAAGCCAGCCCCTCTCTCCGCTCTCTGCTCTCTGCCTTCGCAGGATGCTAGTCATCAGCCTTAGAGAGAATTTCGAGAGCTTCCTGGATCCCACGGCGGGAGCAAGTTTTGGTGACTTGCTTGGGTACACATCATTGCACTTATGGAGCCAGTTTGTCAGAATAGAACACTGCAGTGTCCTTTGGGCTTCAGATCCCCTCCTTATTTTCTGTCAAATCACTCTTCTTTCCCTCCCTCCCTATCACAAGTTTAACATATCAGCTCCTAGGTAGAAAGACGGACTTAAATTGGGTTCTGTGTCTATTCCTGTGCTTTCCCCTGTTATCAGAGTGAAAATGTTAACCTTTAATGTTGGCCCTGTCTCATCTGAATATTTTAAACAGGTTCCTTTGTAAACCTTTCTGCAATTTGCTATTGCTACTCCCCCTATCCCCACCTGAGAGACAGAAGAAATCATCTCTGGGGCCTGATTTCTTTCCCTGGGAAATCCTTGCTAGCCTCGGGGCATCGGCCACCATCTCCCGTCATTTCCTTCCTATAGTTGTTGCTATTACAAAGTGATGGCCACGGAGCCCTTCCCAACAACACAGAGACAAAACGCTCTGCAGAGCTGATGAATTGGACACAGGAGCCTCCTGCTCCTTGATGGGTTGTTCCAGTGAGTGTGTGTGAGTCATGATGTTATTTTGGTCAGAAGAATTGTGTGTGAACTATCCTCCTCTATTCTGGGTGCTCTGAAACAGACGGCTTTGGTGGTTGTAATTGCTGTTGTTCCTCAAGGTGTATGTCAAAGAATAAGGTACCGTATCGGAATCATCCTGTGCTGGTTTTCAAAGGTACTGTTTTGGAGTTGAGGAGGTTGAAAGCTTGCACGGGGGAAGAATTGTGTGTTGACAGGTAATACACATGTTAAGTATAAAAGAAAATTACAGTGATGCCTTCCCCCATCCACTGTACCCCAGGGGGTCCTGTTTAAGGCTGGTGTAGATTTATGGTGAACACATGGAAATGCATGACTTTACTTGGTAGCTTTCTCTTCAGCCAGGTTACAGAATAAGTCACGTTTGATCATTAAAGCTCTGGGTCTCTAAATCCCCAGCTCTCTGCCCTCAGCTTCTCTGAACTCTTGGACTGAGGTTTTGCTGGGTATTTGCCCTGCCCTCCACCCAGATATCTGGAAGCATGGTTGAACTCCATGCTTTTCAAAGTGATGGTCAAGGACCAGTGCCTGGCTGCAACCTAATTGGTTGTGGTTTGGGACAAGATAGGAGACAGAAATCAAGAGTGTGTGTTGAGAGCCTTGCATAACAATCTGACAGCACGGCTTTATGTGTGTCGGATCTGACAATGAACGTTCCTTCTCCTGGTAATCCACTATTGTTGTATGTTACGAAGGCATAGATCAGGGCTGGATGGGCGGGAAGAACAGCATCATTCATTTACCCCATTCCACTGTGAAGACTGAGTTGCTCTGATTTTAGCAGTGACAGTGGTCCCTGAGTGTCAGGCCTGCGCACCCTGGAAGGACTCAGCCATTAGTGATTCAGAAAGGGAAGGTAGGGAAGTTGCACTGTTTCTTTTTGGTTTTCTGTTGATTTTTTTTTTGCTTCTTACTCTTGGAAACCCATGTCCAGACCCCTCTCCTTGTTTGGAAGGTCTCCCTGAAGGGGCCTTGGTGCGTCCCCTCCAGCAGAGACATGAGAGCTGCCTGAATACATGCAGCTGGCGGTGGTCTCTGGATGGATCAAGCAAGGTGCTTCTTCCTGGGCCTGGTGGTGTGGCTCTCCATCCGTGTGTGTGTGTGTGTGTGTGTGTGTGTGTGTGTGTGTGTGTGCCTATGGAGGGGGGAGTCTGTGTGCCACCCAGGATAAAATCAGTGAGCTAACATCTGGGAGCATTCTGGAGTAACTGTGGAGGAAACGCAGAGGCCACTCAAGAAAGAGAGCAGAAGGTCTGGGGTGGAATAAGGGGCATCTTCCACCTTTGCTGTGGCTCCAGAAGCCAGACCTCTCTCCTGGTCTTGATTGTTCTTCCAAATAGAAGTTGGCCATGTATTTGGGCGGAGAGGTGGGGGCTGACTCACCTTTTCCCTATCTAGACTTCCCCAAGGATAGCTGCAGCTCACTCCCTCTCTGTTTCTAACTGTGGTTTAGTGTTGGCCTTTCTTCACCCCCTGTTCCTGTGTCTGCTTAATTTATCTCTGGAGGCCTTACTATCTGGCTTGCTAAGTCATTATTTATTCTGGTATGATATAATGTAATTCGTATAACTGACTAAGTGTTAAGTTAATAAGGGCAAAGGGTTTTGTCTATGTTGTTTTTGGCTTGCTCTTTAGACCTAGGACAAGGCCTGGCATAGAGTAGTTACTCAATGAATATTTGTCATATCAATCTCTGTATGAATCATGAATGAGGCAGAGGCAGGATCACAAAGGAGCCAAGTATCCATGGAGGCCTCCACCAAGGAGGCATCCACCATAGCCTCATAGCTCTGTCCCCGGGGAACATGAGTTTGAGCCCCTGGGTATCTTTCAGCTAGTGCCTGCTGTGTTCCGAGCATCAGCATTGTTGTTCTGTGTCAGATTTCCCTGTGGAATATTCACTGTTAACTCCATTGTATAGATGGGGGAGAGTCAACAAAGATCTCATGTGGGATCACCCCCCAGATCATGGCGGAACTGGAGTGCAAATCAGCCTCTCTGGTTCCATCTACGGAAGTGCCCACAGACAGCTGGTCCTGGCAGGTCTTCTTGCGTTACTTGCTCACCTGCAAGATGGAGGTTAATTTTCCTCACCCGTCACAACTCTTGTCTTGTAAGAAGACACGTGTGCAGAGATGGAAATGAAATGGACATATAGGACTGGAAACTTGGGTTGTATCACTGAGCAATGCCTGTAATCTGAAAGGAGGTCAAAGCCCACAGGGACAAGGGCTCTTCCTATTCTTGCTATTCCTTGCCACTTTCTAGATGCTTCTCTGAGACCATTACTTCCAGACTGGATGGATTCTCATCTCTTAGTCTAACAGTGTTTACGAAACTTCCATAGCAGTGCTGGAGAGGTGAAAAGAGCAAACCAGGTTTCTTGCCCTTCATGCAATTTATATTTTCGCAAGGAGAGGGAGAAGGAAATAAACAGTAAGCAATAAACCATGACGCGAATTATATGCTATGTTAAAAGATGGCACATTGCTCTGTAAAAAAAAAACAAAAATGAAAAAAGACAAAGTAGCAGTGGAGATGTTTGCCACATTAAAACGAGTGGTCCAGGTGGCCCTTACTTGAACAGAGGCCTCTGAATAGAGGCCTGAAAGAGGCTCAGAGGGGCCAGGAGCCTGCAAGACCTTGATGGAAGGGATGCTGAAGTGGACTGGGAATAAGGAGGTAGCAGGATGAAGGGGGTGGGGCTTGAAGGCAGAGACAGCTGACAGCCAATGGGCTACAGAGGTAAGATGAGGGAGGGGCCAAGATTCAATCTTCATATTCTTCCTCCTTGGCTCTTTTTACGACAATGAATGCAAGCATCCCTTGAATTATTAGTATTAAAATCGTGGGAGATCAACCACTAGGGTCAGATCTCCCCCAAACCCTTTGGATTTGGGTTTCTCAGCATCCACATACAGAAATCTGTGGAACAATGTGTAATCTCCCTCTAAGCCTCTTTCTCACAACTTACAGACATCACGTCTGCCAGCACGGCTGCTTCCTTCTTTCATTTATCCAGCCTGAGTCTGTAAAACACTCGCCCCATACAGTCCCACGTGTGGCAGCTGAGGCAGGGGAAAAAAACAACTCAAAAAAAATCCACCATCCCTGCTTTTCAGTTGTGATCTTATCCCTCTAAAGCTAGAGAAGAGTACTTGGCAAGGTGAGAAGTAGAGCAAGTTCAGGTTCGTAAAATCAGAATCCTATTCTGTAGAACAAGAAGCCAGGTGCAGGCAGGCAAGGGCCGGGGGAAGGCTGGCACGTGGAAGGCTGGAGGGGATGGAGGCGTGAGCTAGATGGTACAGTCAGAAATCAAGGATCTGAGGAGGAAGTAGGTTGGGGTAGGAGAGCTGGGGACCCTACATGCTCTGAGCAAAAGGAGGAATCTCTGTTGGAAGGGGAGCTGGCTAGGAGAGCTGCCCATGGAGGGAGAGAGGGATCCAGGTATGGGCAGGAGGCAGAGCTGTAGGAGGGATGCCATGGTGAGATGGGGTGGGGGACAGAGGTCCTGCTCCTTGGTACCGTGTGTGCTTGAGAAACGAACTGAACAGGTGAAGTCAGGCCAGGAGATGAAGACTCAGCCCTGGTCCCTGATTTCAGAAATGACTCTTCATCACTAGTTTCCTCTTTGCTGCCTCCTGGAATTGTGAAGGACATATTGGGCATTATGGTAGCAAAGAGAATCTCACGTACCAAGAGAGTGGAAGGGAAATTTCAAAAAACAATCTAAGCAACAAAATGAAGCTTTTCCTATCTTGCTGGCTGCACTATAGAACCGAACTCTCCGTATTCAAGATGGGCTTTATAGCAGTGAGTTCCTAGGACATTTTGGAAGTAGTCGAGTATGACTAACTCCTTCATTACTTGTCCAAGCACCCTTTTTGAGCCATTCTGGAGACAAAGGACAGCCCCAAGTTGGCGTTCACGGCCAACTTCACTTCCTTCCGTGCAGCAAATAGTGGTATGACTCACACCCTCGCTGTGTTCACACTCATGGGCTTAATGGAGACAGCTGGGCCGGGACGCCATCATTAATAAACCAACAAAGCCCTGCACTTTCCCCACTCCTCCGTTTCTGACTGACATCATGATGTGTTGCTATTTCCAGGCTAATCTTGCACAGCTGTTGAGAGATTCTCAGGACCGAAATAAACATCTGGGAGAGGAAGTTAAAGAACTCCAGCAAAGGCTTGGAGAAGTCCAGGGTGACAATAAGGTATGATGGCTGCTGAAAGGAAGAGCACTCTGCCTGCATCGCTGTGGGTAGCCAAACCCATCAGGAAAATGAACTGCCGTGTTTGCTGAGAAATTTGCTGTAGATGGTTACGTTTGCAATGAAAAAATTCACAGCTTCACATTTCTTAGCTTTATTACATCCCTTTTGTGTGTGCACGTGCATGAGCATGTGTGTGTTTGTGGGGGGGTGGCTTTAAAATATTGTCACAATCCACTGTAGAAGTTTCATTATGTTCCGCGTGCTGGTGAATAACGTTGTTGTTGAGGGCAAAATAAAACTCAACTGCTCTACTTTTCTCTCTTCTATACAAATAATGGATTTGTGGCTCAGACGATTTGGAGTTATTTCCATTCGGGTTTGAATTTTAAGTAGTCCTCCTACTAATTATGTTCACATAACCAATTTATTTTATTGCTAAATTTGGCAATTTGTATGGAACATTGCTCAAAATCCATCGCGTGGTATTAATCAACGCCCCCCTCCCCCACTGTTGGCAACGTTAATTATAAAATATGAACTCATAAACTCAAATGTGAGCACTGTCTCCCCAGCTGAAGCTGCGTACAAGAGTACAATCAAGAAAGAAAAGAAAAACTACCGAAGTTTAATTCCCCCTCCCCCTCTCCAATAATTTCCTGTTTTGCCAGGAGAGATTTATTTCTAACTTCTCACCAGGGATGGTTTTTACAACAGAAATGGTGTTGGATTTTGACTGGAGAAAACTGTGTGTGTGTGTGTGTGTGTGTGTGTGTGTGTGTGTGTGTGTGTGTGTGTGTGAGTGTGCACGCATGCGCACATGCAAGGTCTTTCTCCTGGGGAGATATTTTCTAGCCGTGACAAAATTCCTTGACAAACGATGCTGACTGGCCTTTTCCTGGGGAAGTGATGGTTCTTGGAAGGGATCATTTTTGAAAGCTGCTCACTCTTGAAAACAATGCATGGATTTGTCTGGGAGACAGTTCTGTGGGAGACAGACAGTTGTCTGAGAGACCGCTCTTCCATAATAAGAGGCCAGAGATGACTCTGCAGGCTTCTAGGTGGAGAGACCTCATCTGAAGGCTGCTGTCTGTTGGCTAGAAAGAAGCATGGTTGGGGTATGGTTTATTCCTCAGAGTCATCTGCCAGAAATTTGGTCCCCAGGGCGATCTGTATTGAACGGTGTTGCTAGGTAGCTTAGCAGAGGGTGATCGGGCCGTGGCCAATCCTTGGTCTGCTGAAGTGGGTTCGATCTCTCAGGAGAGTTCCCAGAAGGGCCAATCATTATGAAAGAGCAAGCACGGCTCCTCCCTGCTGTCTTGTTTCATTTCTCACCAACTGAGCCCTTCTTGGCTCCTCCCTTCCGCCATCTTCCTCCCACGTGATGTCAGATCCACGTTGTGCTACTGCCCAGGCTGTACATCCAGAACTGTGAACTGAACAAACCTCTTTGCTTCATCCAGTGCCCAGCCTCTGGTGTTCTGTTACAGCAATGGAAAAGAAACTTGGAAGCCTTCTTTCCACAGTCCAGTCTTCATTCTGTCTGCCTAAAAATTCTTTGTAAACCCCTTGCCTTTTGAAAGATGAGGTCCCTGTTATTCCCACTCATGAAAAGAGGGAGGAAAAGAATGTCTGAGAAAAGTTCTAATTAACTCTGGACAAGCTAACCCGGTCTCACACGTGGCTCATGGGTCATTACAAGGCTCCAGCTGTAACCTAAGTGCTTGGCTAATAATGAAAACGCCAGCCCTTCTTCATCACTGTCTCCAATGACAACAGCAGGGCAGAGTGTCCTAGAGAAAAATAAATGTGTATAGCGGTTTAAGTTCATGAAAATACTAGAAAGGGTTTGGAGATTTCATAAGCCCGCCAAAACTTTTTGAAAGTATGTTTTTCATGATTCTTGTGTGTGTGTGTGTGTGTGTGTGAGAGAGAGAGAGAGAGAGAGTCTCCTAGTTGCTCTTGGCTTTCTCTTCCTCTCATCCCCCAGCTTTTGTAATCTGTCTTTTATTTTGCCTTTTTTTTTCTTTCTGGACAGTGGTGGGGTTTGAACTCGGGGCCTTTTGCTTTCTAGGTAGGTAGGTGATCTAACCTGAGCGCCCCTCCTCCAGCCCTAATTTTTCTGTTTGATCATGAGGAATTTGAGGATTTGGTGCTGGCAGTTGCTCATGGTACCCTGTAACGCTCATCCCAGGCTGGAATCCTTCTGCATTTGTTGCAGTCTGAATTGTGGTGATTTGCTGGTGCTCTGGGTCATTATTCCAGTAGCTGGGCACATTTGTCAACTTTGTTTTGTGTTCAAGGTTTAGCATCTAGTGACTCATTCATGGTCCCACGAAGCAATTAGCCTGCCAGAAAGAAGGTGCTTAGAGGGTGGTAAAGGCCTTAATATCTGCCCCCACCTGAGAAAACAAACACAAGCAAGTAAAAGCCCCTGGGACCCGTTCCTCTCATTTACACATCACTTTTTCAGGCCTCGATGCTTCCTGGGTGTGTCCTCCCTTCCCCACCTCCAGCCCAGCCCACCCAGTCCCAACGCGAAGGTTATAGCAGTGGGCTCATTTCTAAGTTAAGTTCAAAGGCGGCTGGGACTGAGTGGGAGAGGAAGGGGGGGCTAACCTCTTAGAGTCTTAGGGTTGTTTTTGTTTGTTTGTTTGAGGGGAAGATTCATCACAGCACTTGTTGCTCCAGCCCTTCCACCATCTTCCTCGTCTGCCTCCTTGCCATTGTAGGCCAGGCCTCCGTGACTTCACACTGCTTTCAACCTGCTTGTGCGTGTGAGATTCTGCCCTGAGCCTCAGGATGTGAGAGAAGGAAACTGTTGGGCAGGGGAGGAAAGCAACCCGGGAGCCTTAGGGGAAGCCCCCTGCAGAGAGAGCAGAGGGAGCCAAGGAGCGGGGGGGGGTGCACCGGAGACAAACATCCCCTCCACAGCCCGGACAGACTCGCTCAGTTCAAGCAAACTTACATGGAGGTGGTTGGACTCCAACTCTGATGTCAAGGAGATGGACCATGATTTCGTGAGCAACTATTAACTTGGGAGGTTTCTGTCTCTAAGTTGCCATGTCATCTGGTGAACCTTAGACCTATTTTGGGGAAGCCTCAATTTGAGACATGAGATAAGATAGGAAAGGATCTGCCTTGGATTTTTTTTCTGATTGTTCGGCCTGCAAGGCTGGGCCACCTCTGGCCCTTGAAATCATTTGGTATGTGACCGGTGTGTGTGCTTACGTGTTGGCTGCCCACAATCACCTGCCTACATGGATAATTATGTATGGCTCACAAATGATGCTGCATTTAAAGGGCCTTTTACAGTAAAAATGTTCTCCACCCTTCAGAACCCTGAAACCTGGTTCCATAAAGCATTTCCAGACAGGCTCATGAGAGATTTGTGGCTGCCCTGGCTTACGAAGCCTTATTGAGGGAAGGGACCCCGTTGTCAGGGTGGGGTTCTGGGGTCTGGGGAGTCTTGGCCAACCTGCCATCTAGCATCAGGTAGTCTTGTGCCCCGACAAGGATCCCCAAAGACCACCAATGAGCCGATTGCGATGCAAGCACACGAGAGTTGTTTATTGCAAGCTCGAGCCTGGACTCGGAGCCGCCATCAATGCAGCAGCGGGTCAGAGTTGAGAGCCTCGTCTTCCAGTATAGCAGGGTTTTTATTACAGCTACAGCAAGGGTGGGGGGTTTCCAACTTAGCGGTTACATGATTGGTTGACATTTAGTGAGTGAATCTTGTAACGATCTTATTGGCTAGCGTGCGGGCTAAGCGGTTAAGCAGTGAACTATGTTAACTGTGCTATCTTAAGAAACATCTGGAGCTTTAGATACCTTCCTGTCATCTGCCAATGGCTATTGCTAGGGGAGTTATGGGCAGCACGTTATTGGGATATTTCACAGTTTTTCCAGGAACCTGAGTTCTTACTTTCGGCAAAAGTCTTTACAACGGGTATTTTCAGTAAAGGCTTTCACAATGGATACCTTCAGTAAAGGCCTTCAAAATGGAGTCTAAGTCCAGAATGGCTGTACTTTGGCTAGAGCCCCTCAGTAGGTGATTGGCCAATGAGAGGGTCACTGTTTGGGTGTCGAGCTTCTAGAAGCTTCTCTGCATGTTGATTTCCTTATAGAGTAAGTGCTTGATAGGATGGGTGAGCCCCGGGCATGGGAATCGCTGTGGTTGGTGCTCATCTGTGTATTTTTGCTGGTCTTCCCTGTTCTTCACGACCCCTGTCACTGCACAGGATCTGTAGTGCGGTGTGATGGTTTCACCAACAAGCAAGTTCAGGCAGATATCGGCTCCCACCGGTGGGTGTCAGGCATTCACATTTCCGGGTCCCCTGCTGGCTAATTTAAATGTAGATGTCGTGATATTGCATAAACACAGAGCGTTGCCTTTAATAATGAGCTTTATGTTACACCAGCTGACGGTCCTTAAGTACTGCCGTTTTATCTGGGCTTGGCACCATAAAACCAAAGAGGCCTTCTGTGAACGTCCTACCTCTCTATGGACGAGGGACTTTTGGATGGGTTCGAGCAAACCAATTAAGTCAGAGCCACCATCCAATAAAGTCAGAACAATCAGCGTGCAGGTGACTAATTAAAGTAGACTTTGTTTTGGAAAAAAGAAAAGAAAAGGGCTCAGCTGTGATGGATGAGGGATGGGGGAGTTCTTTGGTGCAGGCTCTGCTCTGTGCTTCAGAGCGAGCAGGACAGCGCCTGGATCTCGGGAAATCCCCATGCCAAGGAGAGTGTGGTGATAATGCACGGCCCTCACCGGCCATTAAATGACTTGATTGCAAAGACTCATGGGAGTGATGGAGGTCCTCACCCCCTCTTCCCATCATGCCTTGCTCAACAAGTTAAGACTCTTGTCTGTGATGCAGAGGAAGGCTCAGGAGACCAGCAAGAGACCAGACTCACCCAGTGTTCCCTGGTGTTTTACATCAAATGAACCACCATGCATTTGGACCTCTGAGACCCTATCTTTGAGTCAGTCCTGCCTTAGATGAACGTGTTACCCCCAGGCTCCCCCCCACATGGCCAAGACAGCATGGTTTCTGTTATTCATCCTATGGACCACAGATCACAATCCCATTCCCTAGCAGAGGACTGACTGGTTTTGCCCAAATGAATTTTACAATAACTCCATGCCCAAAATGTTCAGTAAAAATAGAAGGAATCCAAAGCTGCTTCAAATCTTCTTGACGGGACAGCATGAAGACTGAGCTACCTCGCAGGAATTCAGGAGCTTCCCCTCTGTGTGATCTTGGGCCAGCTACTTGACTTCTCTGTGCTTTATCTATATAGTTCCTAGTGTGCCAACCATCATCTTAGGAGACCAACTGTATATCCTGGGTATGGCATAGGACATGAAACCTGGGGTCCCTGCTTCCAAAGGAGTGACAGTGAGCGAATAAACACACCCCACATCCCAGGCACAAGGGCAGCACGTGTCATAGTGTCACAGAGCTGGGATCAGAGCTTTCCAATACAGTCATGACTGGGAGTGTTGCTGGCTTTTCCTATTGGGCGGGATGGTCTAGGTGGGCGGGCATGATCAGTGCTAAGCAGAGAATGGTGTGAGCCGGGAGGCAGAGATGCTCTCTGAGACCCTTGGTGGGACCCATGTGCACACACACCTGGGCACAGACTGGAGCAAGGGTGGTGGGAAGAGGTGCAAAGGCTCTGAGGCGGGCGTGAGCTTGAGATGTCGTTGGGGTAGTGTTCTTTCTTTGAGGGCTAGATAGATGGTTGGGAAGGATGTGGAAAACCCATCACACTGTCCAGCACTCCATCGGGTGAATTTTTAGTAAATGCCTTTGGTGCCAATCTCTCTGACCCCAGTGGCTGTTTATAGCTGTACAAGACTGGTATGAGAAAAGTCCCAGCCCCGGGCCCTCCCAAAGCTCTAGCAAATAGCCACAAGCACACCACCTATGGCTGGGGACTGGGCTTCTCAAGTTCCGTGCAGAGTTGCACGAATGGGGCATTGCATTTTCACCCTGGGGGAAGGGAGACACCCAGGTTGGCATCGTGCAGTGCGCAGCTTGGGAAGCCAAGCCGGGTGTCCTTGTCTCTAAGGTAATGTCTTTTTTTTTTAAGTAAGTCATGTGCCTTTTAGCAAGGTTAGATAGCTTGCTCTGCACGCACAGATAGGGACAATTCTTCGTAGGGCATGGTGGCTCCCACACCTGATTGCCTCTAGTGGGTCATGGGCTTGGGACTGGAAATAAAATGAGGGGAGGGGGCGGGTGAGGGCAGCCAGAAACAAAGCCTGAGATCCAAGGAAGATCGGGTCACTCGACCTGGGGAGGCGACATCCATGGCTTTGTTCATATCCCTCAGGGCACAGCCCGGCCGCAGCTGTGCCTCGTCCACAAACCCGCTCACCCATCCCTCAGTCATCAACATTTATTTCTCTGTAAATCGGGGCATGGACGTGTCTCTTGGTGGCAGAGTGGTGGGGGCTGCGCAGAGCCTGGATCCGGTTCAAGGCCTGGCAGGCCGAGGCTGGCCATGGTGGCAGCCAGTCTGAGGGAATTAAGTGCCACAAGCAGTTGCTTCGGAGCCGTTCCAGGATGGAAATCAACATCTGCCTGCGCTCTCCAGATAAGACTGGCTCGAGCCGGGCTCTGTCCAGCTCAGGAGAGAGAAGCGCTTTCCAAGTGGGCTGGGGTGAAAGCCTTCGGGGGAGGGGGAGCAGGAGGAGAAGAAAGCAGTCATCAGAACAGCAGCTTCTCCAAGCACTTGGTTCCCTGAGAATGCCTCCTCTTGTTAGGGGCTGGATTGAAGACAGAGGGGAAGAGGAAAAGCTTGTATCTCGCCCAGATCCTGGTCATGACCTTACTTAGATCATGCAAACAGGACAGGACCCATGACTGGATGTGTGCTCTGAATCGGTAGTAAATAGTATTGCTCCATGCGTTTAAAAGTGTGTGTGTGTGTGTGTGTGTGTGTGTGTGTATCAGTATGTCAGTACTTGAACTCAGGGCCTAGGAGCTGTCTCTTAGCTTTTTCACTCAAGGCTGATTCTCTGCCACTTGAGCCATAGCTCCATTTCTGGCTTTTTGGTGGTTAATTGGAGGTAAGAGTGTCACGGACTTTTGTGGCCCTCAGATCTCAGCTTCCTGAGTGGCTGGGATTACAGGCTTGAGCTACTAGGCTTACTCCATGGTTTGTAACTTTTGTTTGCTTTTTTTTTTTTTGGACTTCCTAAATTAAAGTCTCCTGGAATGCTGCTCCCTTTCTCATGCACAAGGCAGCCTTCAGACTGCACTGGTTTTACTGGGGAAGGACGAGGCCCAGAGAAGTTTACACACGTTCTCAAGAGTGCACAGCTTGCACACTTTGGACCCCAGGGGAGCTGAAGGCAGCTGGCCCCGGAGCCCTGGGCCGCCCCTGGGGAGGGCGGGAGGACGCTGCATGGCTGCAAATCCCCATGGCAATGACCTCCTGGGCTCCCTTCCACCCACTGCACTTGAGTGTCAGACTCAACCAGTAATCCAGCGATCACCGTCTCGGGCCTCACTTCTAAAAATAAGAGTTTCCACCAACACAGCCCTGCGATTTAAGAGGCGATATTGTATGCACATTAAACACCAAATGATTTTTAACGTATTTATTGAAGCCTAGCCGGCATCCAGTATATAAAAGATGACTCCCTTATATGGCTGTCAGACCTCAATAAACATGTTTAATAATTAATTGGCATTAAGCAAACATAATCGTGTGATTCTAAATTAAGCATGCAGTGAAGCATATTGTGAAGGAAAGCCACAGTGGTATTTTATTACTTAAAGTTCAGGCTGTCAGTCTGCTTTTCACGCATCAGGAAAAATACCCAATTTTCCAAGCTGAGCTCACGTTTCCTGCCAAAGGCACAAGCCCTCTTGTCCCAGAGCCTCAGCTCTGAGGGCTGGCTCTATTGGCTTGCTTGTCCTCTCTCTGTAATGAACTTTTGGGCCCTGGGGTCGCAGCTAAGAGTTGTGTGATGGGAAAGATGTCTTCACACTTCAGTTTGGGGAGCAGAGGGATGATTCTGCTATAAGTATGTTCAGTGAAGTCACTGTCCACACTGAATTTGTCCATGCTGAGCTATTGCTTCCGGGAGACGATGGAGGGGGGGGGTCCTCTGAGGCTCTGTGTAATGTGTGCTTCTGTTTTAAGTCATCTTGTTGTATATATAATATATAACATGTATTATATATAATATTGTCTACATATTATGTGTTATTATATATTAATTATAAAATAATGCATATTACATAACATATAACTTGCATTATATATTATACATTAATATATGCTTATATAATATATACTATATTACATAATATATAAACATAACATATATTAATATAATGCTTATGTATTATGATATTCTATATTATATGTTATATTACTGTATATGAATATATAACAATTGTTCCCTAGATGGTTTGCTTTTCTATTATGTTTAAGTGTCCTCATCTGGATTGCTTTGCTCTTGTATAACACTTTTGTTGGGTTTGATTCCATACATCTTGAGTGGTTTTGGTCTATACAAGCTTTATGCTAACTGCCTTTGGGGCTGCTGGTCTATGGGACACGACTCCACCAGCAGTCCTCTGGCTTTAAGTGGTGACTTCTCTGTTTCTCATGACTGAGTTTCCTTACACCACCTTTGGCCCTCAGGGACACTGGCCAGGATGTCAGCAGCCCGGGGAGTGGTAGTGTGAGGGACTCCCTTACACATTGTTGGTGGCCATGTCAATTAGTACAACTGCTGGGGAAGGTGGTATGGAAGTTCCTACAAATGAATGAATGAATGAATAAATAAATAAATAATAGGAATACAGCATGGCGATCCCACTGTGAGGTATACCTCTAAAGGAAAAGAGATCAGTATACCAAAAAGATACCTATAATTCCTTGTCCACTGATGCATTGTTCACAGTATACAAGATATGGTACCAGTAAGATCTCCATCTACAGATAATTGGAGAAGGAAGATGTGGGGTTCAAGGCACTGGTGGCTTATGCCTGTGATTCTAACTACTCAGGAATGCTGAGACCTGCAGGGTTGCAGGGCAGAAAAGTCTGTAAGACTCCCATCTCCTAATAACAAGCAAAATGCCAGACTAGAGGCATGACTCAAGTGGTAGAGTGCCAGCCATGGGCAAAAAAGACAAGTGAAAGAGGGAGGGGTGCTAAGTTTGAGCACCAATATTGGCACATAGAAAGAGAAAGAGATGTAGTATATGTTCACAATGGAAGACTATTTGGCGTGAAATCCTGTCATTTGTGACCATGTAGATGGCTTAAGCAAAGTTAAGCAAAAGAAACCCAGCATTGTTGCAGGACCGCACTCAGAATGATTTGTAAAAATTCTAGGAGAGGAGGAAATAGTGTTTCTCAGAGACCCAGAAGATGGGAGGAGACGCTAGGGAGGGGAGAGTGACCAGCAGGCCAGATTAACATGTCTTCATGTTCCACTGCACAGCAGGGTGCATAAAGATACTTACACTGCAGCTATCAGTAAAGCATTGTATGTTTCAAAGCAGATGATTTTCAGTATTCTTCTAATAAATGGTAACTGTGTGATTCACACTCACTACGTCCACCTTCCAGCATTCCCGCCAGCTTTCCACAGTGGATGTGCATATGAATATATGTGCAGGGGCAAAAATTGCAATAGAGAGTTTTAATGTTCTTAAAAATGTCATAATACTGGCAAGCAGCTTGCCTTGTGCTGTCCTCCAGTATTTCTCGAGGGATTGTCCTCTTCCAGAAGTTTCTGACGAGTGTCCTTATGTTTCGGGTTTTATTTAGATGTATTCATCCATATCCTCCCTCCTCCCTCTCCCCTTTCTCTCTGTCCTTGTTCTACTAATGGAAAATGCAGCTGCTGAGGATGACAATTGCCAAGCAAAGGCTAGGAGATGAAGAGATCGGCGTGCGGCACTTTGCAGCCCACGAGCGTGAAGACTTAGTCCAACAGCTTGAGCGAGCTAAGGAACAGGTGATTGATGATGTCTGTTAAGAGTACGGGAGGGGGCTGGGCTCTGGTGGCACACATCTGTAATCCTAGCTACTCAGGAGGCTGAGATCTGAGGATCTCAGTTTGAAACCAGTTCAGGCAGACACATCTGAGAGACTTATCTCCAGTTAACCAAAAAAAAAAAAAGCCAGAAGTAGATGTGTGGCTCAAGTAGTAGAGTTCTAGCCTTGAGGAGGGTAAGCTAAGTAACAATATGAGGCCCTGGATTCACAGTATCAGCATGTGTACACTCACACATGCATGTGTTTGCACATGCATACACATACACACAAAGACGGGGGATGTGGTTGCATTTACATGGCTAGATTGGACTATAAGGATGGCTGTGTGCCCACTCAGGTCCTGGGACCTGAACTTAGGGCCTGGGCTCTGACCTTGAGTCTCTCTATGATCAAGGCTAGCACCCTGCCACTTGAGACACAGCACTACCTCTGCTTTTCTATAAATGTGGTACTGAGGAATGGAATCCAAGGCTTCATGCATGCTAGGCAAGCACTCTACCACTAAGCCACATTCCCAGCCCATCTACCCATTCCTTCAGTGTGGGAGGAGGTGGAAGATGCAGGGCCTCACTTCCCTGTTCTGTCCCTGGTTCCCAAGCTCTGACGCCCTCTGGGTGTCTGGCTTTTTCCCCCGTTGTGCTGAGCACCAGGAACCTGTCCCCACTCAGGATAGACAGGGAGGGAAGGAAATGTGACAAGCTGGCCTTAATTTGCAAGTTTCCGTTAAAATGCTGAGTGGTGCTTCTTAGGCAGATTCGCAGTGGGTCGAGCCCTAGTTAGGAGCAAACCAGTGAGACCAGGCTTCCCGCTCCTCCTCTTACTAATTGCTTGTGAAGAACAGAACGGGGTGGGCTGGGGAAGTATACGTTTGTGAGGCCCCAGGCTCTGCTCTCTCCAGGCCCATGGCCTGAGGGTGAGTTGGGTGGGAGTGTGTGTGTGGGGGGACCCCTCAGGGCTCTTTCCCAGGTGTCTGTGCTACCTCTCCCATCCCGAATTTGGCAGGCCGCCTTATTTCCCGCTTTTATGCAGTGCATCATGCATGTGGGTTTCTAGTGAGCAGGTGGCCATCACAGCCCTATCTCAAAGTCAGCCAGCCGATAGGAGGCTCTGTGTCTGGCAGGAAGGGTGGGTGGGAAGCCGGTCTTGGTGAGAGTCCTTGCTGGGTTTCAGATCGAGTCTCTGGAGCATGATCTGCAGGCATCCGTGGATGAGCTTCAAGACGTCAAGGAAGAGCGGGCTTCGTACCAGGACAAAGTGGAGAGGCTGAACCAGGAGCTCAACCACATCCTGGGTGGGCATGAGAGCCGCATCATCGATGTAGACGCCCTGTGTATGGAGAACAGGTGGGTGGCGGCACCCCATGCTGGGGAAGGCAGGCTGTGCAGGTCGAGGCAGGCGTGCAAGTCACCTGCCACCCTGTTTGCACTGGAGAAAGTTGTCTTCTAAGTGAAGAGAAAGTCGCAACCCCAAATGGTCCTATTGTCATGTAGGGGTTGTAAAAAGCAAGACAAGAATGACAGATCCACGCACATGTCCCTCTTTTCTTTCCCCACACCCTGCCTGGCTGGGCCAGAACGGGGAGGAGCCAGCAAGAGCTGCTTGTTATTATCCAGGAGAGGGCAAAGAAGAAGAAAATAAATTGAGAAATTCCCTTAGCTCTGTCTTCCCCCCACAGGCAGGTTTCAGCGTGTGTGTGTGTCTGACTTGCTGTTTTGCCTGGGGTTGCCTCTTCCTGCTTTGCTTTCCCAAGGAGCCATCTTAATGAGAATTATGTGAAGATGGTGTTGCTCTCCCTGGGGGGTCATGAGAGGGCGTTGTAAAGTGGGGGTGTCTGTGATTTGGGCATGTTTGACCTTGATCAGATGCATTTAGGAGAAAGCCACACAGGTGAACATTTTCCTCCTTCTCCTTTCTAGAGTAAGAAGGAAGACATTATACATAAACTGACTTCCCAGACCACGGTTTTCATGTTTTCTCTTATATTTTTTTTGTGTGTGTGTTTTAAAAATTGCCCCAAATCCATCCTGATTGCATATATTCTTTTCCAGATACCTTCAGGAGAGATTAAAACAACTCCATGAAGAGGTTACCCTCCTGAAATCCAATATCGCCAAGTACAAGGTAATGAAATCATGAGGATGCCAGTGATTCACCACTGGGCATTATGATGGCATCTTATTTTAATTCTCTATTGTGTGCCAAATATATTTTAATGATAACTCTTCCCCCAAAGAGAGTTAACCGTCATGATTGGTAACAGTTAATCCCAAACAACAAAGACATGCCACCAGGTTTTTCTAGACCCCCTTTCTGTGGCTATCATGTAGACAAGGTACCTGGAGAGCTAGACTCTCATATTTGGACCTTACAGCTGCAGTCCCTATGAAGTTAGGACTCCTGTCCATTTCCCTAATAAATGAGCAGTAGTCAGATGCTATTTGTATCATCGTCCTCCGTGAGAAAATGATTTGGGAAGGATGAAGAGACAGGGATTGGGAAATCACAATCCAGACTCTAATGTTCACGTTACTCGGGGAGGACAGAATGTTTAAATTCTCCCCACTGATATTTAGTCTAATTCTAGCCCCATTAGTTTGATAATATCTATTTCTGCAGATGTTAGTTGTAAGTGTTATAATTAGAAAAGTCTCCTGGGTTTCTCTGCTTTGAAAATAGATTGATTTCTCTTCCTGAGGGTAAAGTTTTGCATCCATCTAGATGCTCAGGAGAGTCGACTCTTTCCTGGTGGTTGACCTTAGCTTTCATCCGCAGACATCTTCATGCTTCTTTGTTCCATCATAACCACACTGTCTATCTGTCTGTCTATCCATTTATGTCTATCATCTATATCTATATCTATATATGTGGCCAAACAAGTACGCTGCTTTTAGTACATTATTTTTTAAGCATGGTTGCATTCATTTAACATTTATTCCATTCTCTATACCAGATAGTAGCTCTATACTACAAATAAATCTGAATGCAAGAGTCTGTGCTAAGAATGATAGGCATCATATATTCATTTCCTTCATGTGTCCAAGGCAGACATCACCAATTGAGGTTGGCTTTTTTTCCAGTGCAAGTACCAAATCCTTCCAGATCTCAGCATTGGTATATGGAAGGAAACCTATTCTCCATGATATGTCTGTTCCAAAGTGGTCTTTTTAACTAGTAGCTTCATGCATTGGACTACATTCTTGCTTCACATTTGGTTTCAGGAATATGCATTGAGTGCCCTTGAATCCAGAGAACTGTAATCATTGTTATCCTGTGGTAACTTTTAAAGAAAAGACAAAATTTGTTTCTGGTTCTGTAAAACTCCTAAGGATTGAGAAGTCTACCTGTTAGGCCAGCAGAAAGGAGAGACATCTCCTTTAAAAGATTTTTTTTCCTTCATTGGCTTTTCTGACACAGTTTCTTATTTTCCCCTAATGCTACTGTAGAATGCTCTGGAGAGACGGAAAAACTCGAAGAGTCAGGGCAAGTCCAACAGCAGTGCTCTAACTGGAGTCCTGTCAGCAAAGCAAGGTAGGAGCTTATCTTTGTGTGGGACTCACTGATCAGTACAGAATCATCTAGAACTACAGTCTGTGTCACATCCACACTGTGGGGATTGTGGGTTGGGAAGCACGATGAGCCCAGATCTGGAAGGTGACAACACATAGTACCAGGATTACCCAGAGTTCTGGGTAAGAAGGACTGAAATTCTGTACTCGACAAGATCCCAATGGTTGCTATGGCTTCTTTGGAAGCCTTGGTTTAAGAACCACTGCATGCTGGGTGCTAGTGGCTTACACCTGTAATCCTAGATGCTCAGGAGGCTGAGATCTGAGGATTGGGGTTTGAATCCAGCCTGGACAGGGAAGTTCATGAGACTCTTATCACCAGTTAACCACCAGAAAAAAAACCAGAAGTGGTACTGTGGCTCAAAGGGGTAGAGCACTAGCTTTGAGCAAAAAGAGCTCAGAGACAGCACCCAGGCCCTGAGTTCAAGCTCCATGACCAGTGAAAAACAACAGAAAAACCAGTGACTAGACCCAGACTGGCTAGATGCCCCTATGCTGTTCTGTCTGTCTGTCTGTCTCTGTCTCTGTCTCTCTCCTCTCTTCTTTCCTCCTTCCCTCCCTCCCCACCTCTCTCTCTTTCTCTCTCTCTCTCCTAGCTTGAATTCAGGTCCTGGGCGCTTCCTTTGGCTCAAGTCTAGTACTCTGTCACTTGAGCCATAGCTTCACTTTCAGCTTTTTGGTAGTTTATTGGTGATAAGAGTCTCACAGACTCTTGCCCTGGCTGGCTTTGAACTGTGATCCTCAAATCTCAGTCACCTACAGGCATGCATCAGAGTCCAACTTGTGTTCTCTTTTTAAAACTGTTTTTCCTTCCCTAGCCCCGATGAGTATCTCCAGTGAGATGTGTTTCAATCTCCTTGAATTCTCCTTCTCGTGGCCACTGTGGTCAGAATGAACAGCCCCATGGAGCTGTGCTGTTCTCAAAGAAGCTTTTATTGATTGCAATTTTGTTCCTTCTCCTTGTCGATTCCGATGAAAAATAATGATCTTCCAGGAACAGTCCGAGGGAATAAATAGCAAAGAGCTTGCGTCTGACACTTAATATGCAGAAGTCAGTTCTAAACAGAAGCCTCTCGGGCCACGTGCTCAGCTGGCCCACTTTTTGGTTGTTGATGGCACAGACCAGTGACTATTATGTGACAATCTTAATCAGAGCTAGAGTGAATTTTTAAAAAAGTGCTGAGTCTCCAGTGTACATAGTAACCACGTTTTTTTCCCCCTCCTTCTCCACCCACCCTCCCATGTCCACCAATCAACTAGAAAAGAGCATCTTTGAATTGTTCCTGAAAAGAAAATTGCAAACAAGGCACTAGTAGTTTATACCTGCAATTCTAGCTACTCAGGAGGCTGAGATCTAGGGGATGCAGATTCAAAGCCAGCCTGGGCAGAAAAGTCTGTGAGACTTTATCTCCAATTAACCAGAAAAATGCCAAACTAAAGGGATGGCTCAAATGGTAGATCTGTGAGCAAACAAAGCCAAGTAAGAGTATGAGGACTCTTGCTGGATGCTGGTGGGTCATGGCCATTAGAGAATCTGATGATATGGAATGATGTCAAGTGAGAGAAAGGCTTGCCTCTTTTTGTTGTTGTTGGTTGTGGGGCTTGAACTCGGGTCCTGGGCGCTGTTCCTGAGCTTCTTTGTGCTTAAGGCTAGTGCTTTACCAATTGAGCCACAGCAACATTTCTGGGTTTTTTAAAAAAGTGGTTCATTGGAGACAAGCATCTCACATGGACTTTTCTTCCCTGGGCCAGCTTCAACCCATGATCCTCAGATCTCAGCCTCCTGAATAGCTAGGATTACAGGTGTGAGCCACCAGTGCCCAGCTCTCCTCCATTTTTAAAGACAAAGTATTATGAAATGTCTGTAATTACCATATAAAAATGACATTCAAAGAAAGACAGTGCAGGATTCTTACTTTTCATTATTATTATTATTATCATTATTGTTATTATTATTGGTATTATCTATGGGCTTTACTGTTCTTTCTAAAAACAGACAACTCAGTCAGAGAAAGGACCCAACGGCAGTGAGAACAGAAGATAGAAGGGATTGCCACCTGTTGATCAGGGCTGTGTTGTGGATGGATCAGAGTGATTTAAGCTCTGTATATGTGTGTGTGTGTGTGTGTGTGTGTGTGTGTGTGTGTGTGATAATGATTTTGAACTCATGGCCTCATGCTTGTTAAGCCAGTGCTCTACTCTTGAGCCACACCGACAGCCTTTTTTGGTTAGTCTTGTACTTTTTTTTTTTTTTTTTGGTCCGGTCGTGGGGCCTGAACTCTGGGCCTGGGCGCTGTCCCTCAGCTCTTCAGCTCAAGGCTAGCGCTCTACCACTTGAGCCACAGCGCCACTTCTGGCTTCTTTTTGCTTATGTGGTGCTGAGGAATCGAACCCAGGGCCTCAGGCATGCAAGGCAAGCGCTCTACCACTGAGCCACCTTCCCAGCCCTAGTCTTGTACTTTTTGTGCAGGGTGACCTTGGATCTCCATCCTCTTCCCTATACCTCCCATGTCAATGGGATTATAAGTATACTGTTATGCTTGGTATATTGATTGAGACAGTGTCTTGCTAACTTCATTGTCTGGACTGGCCTTGATTGGTAAGCCTCCTGACTTCTGCCTTGTGCAGCTGGGATTACAGGCATGTGCTTCCCTATTTAAGCTATCTTGAGCCTAGCTAAGCAACAATATGGGGACTAAGTTTAAGTCATCCCATATATGAGAAGTCATAGAAATTTTAGCAGGTGGTATTATTCACCAATGGTATTGTATTGCTAAAGAGGCTCATGAAATCTCCATCATACTAACCAAAGTTTGATATTTGGAATAAAGAAGGTAATAGTCCTACTATGTGCTAGATGAATCAGACATTCCTAGAATGTCCTGATATATTGGAAATAGTTTTTTAAAATAGACACAAAAAGCAAGAGAGTTTCCTACCAGAGCTGTCCATAAATGACTGGAGACTTGTCTTCGGAGGCCCATCTGAAGCCAGGCTGCAGAGATGGGCTGCTTCCTGTGGCTTCTCAGTCCTGTCTTGCTCCAACCTGTGTCTAGTGTTTGGCTTAACTTTGAACTTGGCCATGGGTACGATTGACAGGTTGTAGAATAACAAGCCTCAGGCACGGCTAGGCCGTGTGCAAGGAACTCTACCTCAATGCTTACACTTTTCCAGTTGGCCATGTAATTCTTTGCCATGTCTTGACATCCCTTATGGCATTATTTGTTTAAATTTTTTTTTCTTTCTTCAAGTTGATTTTTAAGTGACTCTTTTACCTGGCTCTGTCCTGAGTGGTCGCATCTGTGAAGTCACACGTTTCTTCACGCTGTTTCCCAGTCCAGGACCTGTTGTCTGAGGACCATGGCTGCAGCCTCCCAGCTACCCCACAGTCCATCTCCGACCTGAAGTCCCTGGCCACTGCCCTGCTGGAGACCATCCATGAGAAAAACATGGTCATTCAGCACCAGAGGCAAACCAACAAGTATGTAGCTGAACCTGTGTGTTGGAGGGTGAGTTGGAGGGAGGTGGGAAGAAGTTTCTAGAAGTCAATGGCAGCTGGGTAAAGCCTGGTGAGGTCAGGTAGAGGCCTGTGGGAAGCAGGTAATGTCTTCTCCAATCTAAAATGAACCATATTAGGTCAGCTTGCGGCCACACTCCAGGGTCCACACACTGGTCATGGATTGCCAGGTGCATCCTGGAGCTACGTCCTGAACAGCACACGTTTCCTGGTGGTTTCTGTAGTACAGTTGCAACGTCCAATAACCTTCCAGGTCTCCAATTAGGGGAGGGGCTGCCTCTGTGCTAATTCATCCTCACAGCATGACTCTGGGGGCTCTGACTGCCAGCAACTGCCCAGTACCAACTTCGACAGCAGCTGGGACTAACAGAGTCTCATGTCCTTCTCCCAGAGGAGCAAAAAAGTGATGAAAAGGAGTAATAAATAAAACAGACCATTCTTTTTATATAGTGTATTATATTGTACAAGATCAAGCAAGCAAAAGGAGGCTTTGAAGGAAGAAAATTGAAAGTGTTCACAGAATGGTGAATAAGAGCAGTAAATTGAAGTCATAAATACTCCACACATTAGTCCATTTTCTCTTGCTATGATTGATTACCCAAGACGGGGTAATTTGTAAATTTTTTTAAAGTTTTGTTTTATTTTTGGTACCAGTATGACACTTCTATTTCTTGGAGTTCATTTTGACAAATACCATTTTATGTGATCCATAGCACATAGCTATTGAGCCTTTGTGATCCTCTCCTAAGAGTATCCTCCTTCGGTCTCACTGTGTGAGTGTCTAGAATCCTGTATAATTTATCATGTCCAAGTGTGGCTTTTTTTGTGTCTTTTACCATCCAGTGTATTTACTTGTACATTATTTACTTGTACATTTATAGGCATATTTTAGCTACCACAAATGAGAGAAGACATGCAACCTGTGTTTCTCTGGGTCTGGCTTACTTTGTTTTGTTTTGCTTCTTCTTCTTCTTCTTCCTCTTCTTCTTCTTCTTCTTCTTTTGGTGATAGTGGTACTGGAGTTTGCTTGGCAGGTACTCTACCACCTGAGCCATGCCTCCAACCTAGCCTTTTGCTAGAGATGGAATCTCATTGACTTTTCTGCCTGGGCTAGCTTCAAATCATGACCTTCTAGATTTCAGCTTCCTGGGTAGCTAGGATTATAGCTAGGCATGTGCCACAAAGGCCCAACTAAAAGAAATTTGCTTTTTACAGCCCAGGAGGCTGTGAGGTTCAAGATCACGTCACCAGCATCCATGGGCTTTACTGGTGGCATCCTGACATGACGTGGCACAGGACATGATGTGCTTGAGACACAGAAAATATGTGCACTTGAAGGTCTTTTGTTGTTGTTGCTCATGGGGCTTGAACTCTGGGCCTGGGTGCTAGCACTTCAGCTCAAGACTAGCACTCTACCACTTGAACCACAGTGCCACTTCTGGTTTTCTGGTGGTTAATTGGAGATAAGAGTCTCATGGACTTTCCTGCCTGGGCTGGCTTTGAACCGTGATCCTCAGATCTCAGCCTCCTGAGTAGCTAGAATGACAGGGGTGAAGGTCTTTGTTATAAAGCCTCTAGCACCCCACCCTCATGACTTCACCCCATCACTTCCAAGAGGCCTCACTTACAAATGTCATTAAAATATGAACTTGGAGATTACATTTCTACCAAGGCCCTCTGGGACATACCTGGGAATCACAGAAGGACCACACCGGTATTGAGAAGAACTGGTGCTTGCTCTCCTGTGCTGCCCATGAAATTCATAATAAGTATTCTGTTTGTTTGTTTTACTAGAAAGGCTCCTAGTTTTTATCTTACACAGAGTCCTGCAAATGATGTAGCTATCCTGCTCACAAGACCCAGACCCAGAATGAAAATGCAGAACTGAGCAGAGACTGAAATACTAGGCTTCAAGCTGGAAGGGGGATGGGGGGGGAGAATTGGAGGAGGGGAGGGAGGCTAGCAAAGGGACACCTGGGGAATAGGATTGAAAGTATTGGGAAAGCCAGATAGCCAAAGGAGAAGATGGAGTGTGAGGGCCAGGGGGAGGGAGGGGGAGAGACAGCACAGAGATGAAGATGTATGTGAAGAAGGTCCTAGCAGCAAAGGAGGCTGGCACTCTCCCAGATGCCAAGGGTAATTTATGGATGGAAGTTTGCAAGCTCCTTGCAAAGTGAACCTGGCTAGGGCCTGAGCAGTGGCAACTTCTCAGGAAGCCAGGGCTGTTCCTCCCCGTAGAATTCCCAGGGAGCTCATGGCCAGCCTGCACTGTCCTTACCCACTTGGTGGGGAGGATCCTGACATTCTACAGAGCCACAGCCTCCTGCTTCCTCCTTAGGACCCTTCTACCTGTGTCCACTTGGGTTCTGACTTGTCCAGAGAGCAAAACCACAGTGGCCAGTGCCTGAGTCAGTCAGCCTTCGCAGATTCCACCCCAGGAATGCCAGTGCTACCAGATACCATGCCCAAAGTCCATCTGGAGGCCTAAGGTCCTGGGAGTTTTATATTTTAACTATTAGGTAGGTGTTTGTTGAAATCTCTGCTATGCTAAAACAACCATAACTGTGTAAAAACTCCTATCTATCTATCTATCTATCTATCTATCTATCTATCTATCTATCTGAAAGCAAGATCCTCCTCTTCCAACTTTGTGCCTTCCCTCTCTATGGAGGAGAGTGTCCCAGTCCCTCTTTCAAACAGTCAGCTTTAATTATTTGTTAATTTATTTAGTGTTTATTTATATATGTATGTATGTTTGTTTGTTTGTATGTATGTATGCATGTATGTATGTATGTATTCTGGTCCTGGGGCTTGAACTTAGGCCTAGGCACTATCCCTGATCTCTTATGCTAGAGGCTAGTGCTTCACTGCTTGAGACACTCCTCCCTTCTGGCTTTTTGGTGTTTCATTGGGGATAAGAGTCTCACAGACTTTCCTGCCCCAAGCTTCCGTTGAATCACAGTCCTCAGATCTCAGCCTCCTGCATAGCTAGGATGACAGGCGTGAGCTGCCAGGGCCCAGGTTAGCAGTCATCTCTCTTCATCTGGTCACTTCTATCACCTGGATTCTGGGTTCCATCCCTGCCGGGCTGAAACATCTCTGTCAAGGGCCAGGGATGTCCTCTGCCCTTCTGCCAGGGTGGTCACTGCCCCAAAGAGGATGTTGAGACCCTCTCCCCCCGGCCGCCAGGCCCCTCGCTGCCCTGGTCTGCTTCCTGTCATCTGGCTCGCTGGGCTCCTGCTCTGGCTTCTCCCTATACCCGGTGTTGGGAAGTGGGTTGGTCTCCTCCTCCTTCCTCATGCTCACGGCCATTCTTTCCCCACTTCATCCCCCACCTGGGCGGTGTCTTCCCAGTGGGTCTTTCTGCTTCTCACTCTCCTTCCGCTCTATTCTCAGCACCACACAGAGAGCCCTTTTTCTGAGCTCTGTGATGCTGCTTCCTGCTCTACACCCTTCAGTGGCTCTCCATTGTCCATGCACAGAACCCCGACCCATTGTCAGTGTGGCCACGGTTCACCTGCCATCTGGATCCCAAAACCTCCTCCACAGAGATTGTCAGTTCCACACCAAGGTGCTTTGTCTGGCTCATCTGCTTGCTAGCTGTGTAGCCCAGGGTGCGTGAATTGACCTCTCGGAGCCTCAGTTCCCTCAACATTGACAAAAATACTACTACTAATAATAATAATAATAAGGGCTTAGAATGGATTGGAGACATACTTTCCAGTACTTAGAGCACTAACACCAGTACTGAACAGATGATGGGTAGCAGCTTGGAGTGATAGGCCTTTCCATGGCACTGTGTGTTTGGTGATGCATTGGTCTCCCCAAGAAACAGAGAGAGTCACCCCTTCATGACACCCTGCAACCTGCCCCACACAGTGGGACATCAGGAGCAGTGAATGGGTCCTGTCCCTACTTCTCTGCCTCCCCGGTGCTTGTATCCAGCATGCAGGCAGCATCTCGCCCAGGCTGCCTTAGAAGGTTTACGGTCCTGCGCTGCTCTTTCAGTGCCCAGATGACCAGGTCCTTTACAAAGCCTCTGGCGTTGAATTTCACAAATCATCTGTGGCTACATCTGTATTTCCATGGTAACAGCACTGAGGAAGACTATGAGCATGCTTATTTGAAAGTGCCTGCAGGGGTGAAAGTAGCACATGCCTCGGAGGCAAATGGAGACCTAATCTCAAATCCAGACTCATTGGTAACAGTAACGGAGCCTTGCATGTTTCTATTGGTTACCTCTGATTCCTAATGAGAAGAGGCGGGTGTAATGGGTGAGATTGCTTTGCCTAACCTCTCTGTCCTCGGAAATCCACAGTGTAAAAGGAAGATAGTAATATAATATACACTGCAGGGCTTTTGTCAGACTAGAGATCACACATGGTAGGTTGCTATTCTGATCATCTGTATCTTAGAGTAAGGACTAAGGAAAACTTAGCTGGATGTTTTGTGTTTATGACGGTACTGTTCTTATTGTTTTGATCGCTATGACTACCATGACTACAACTTTTGGAGAGTCTTTTTCTTACCTCTGCATCTGATGCTGGTAAGTGCAGACCAAAGAGAAAGGCTACCACTGACACGCTTTGGCAGGCAGGGTGCTTGATGTAGATTGTTGGGGACACCAACAAATTCACTTCAGTCCATTTCTGGGTGAAACCACTATTGACCCACAAACACTAGAAACAATATCACCAAATGTATCTGCAGCAGGAATTCTAGAACAGGATGTATCCAAACATCTCTGTCTTTACATCTAGCCCAGAAGGCATCTCTGGTACAAAGAAGCCTGGAACTTGATATCACTTGTTGGCAAGAGGCAGCCACAGACCCATGATCTGATCTTGCTAAGAAACAGCATAATGCTGGGCACCAGTGGCTCACGCCTGTAATCCTAGCTACTCAGGAAGCTGAGATCTGACTGTGGTTCAAAGCCAGCCCGGGCAGGAAAGTCCCTGTGAGACTCTTATCTCCAATTAACCATCAGAAAACCGGAAGTAGCACTGTGGCTCAAGTGGTAGAGTGCTTGCCTTGAGCTGAAAAGCTGAGGGACAATGCCCGGACTCAGTGTTCAAGTCCCACAACTGACCATAAAAAGAGAGAGAGAGGGGCTGGGAAGTTGGCTCAGTGGTAGAGCGCTTGCCTTGCATGCCTGAGGCCCTGGGTTCGATTCCTCAGCACCATATAAGCAAAAAGAAAAAAAAGCCGGAAGTGGCGCTGTGGCTCAAGTGATAGAGTGCTAGCCTTGAGCTGAAGAGCTGAGGGACAGCACTCAGGCCCAGAGTTCAGGCCCTACAACTGGACCAAAAAAGAGAGAGGGAGGGAGGGAGGGAGGGAGGGAGGGAGGGAGGGAAGGAGAGAGGGAGAGAGAGAGGGAGGAAAAAGAAAGAAAGAAAGAGAGAGAGAAGAAGGAAGGAAGGAAGGAAGGATGGAAGGAGCAAGCATCATGCTTGTACACTGCTGTGATTGTATCTCAAAACCATCGCTGTGAAAAGGCAGAAAAGGCAGCACAGAGCAGGTCTGACAAAATATTGCAAGTGAGATTCTGGAGAACAACTGTGTGTATGGGAGAGTCAGGGGCACGAAGGCAAAATAGACCCAAGAAATGGAGTAGAAATGTAAGTGATTAAAAAACATAATAATGAACCATGCAGAACTTGAAGACTTAAGGAAAAATAAAACAGGAAAGCTCTAAGTATTCACATGAACAAAACCACATATAGTAACACCAGAGTTATCTCTGCATTCAAAGGGGAGTAGTAATTACAATGGTGCAAGTCATTTCAGGTGAAATAAGGGTGAATCTGAAGCCATATATATATATATATATGTATATTATAGTTAATAAATATTCATACCTCTTGTGTGCACGTGGGTGTGTGTAACTATCTCTGGAATATAGAGAAAGGCAGGAGAATAATTCCTGTGTTTTGATTTTTCTCCTGTTCAAAGGAATTGCATCTTCGCTGTTAAGGTGATTTGTACCTCATTTTAACACAACAGCATCAAGAAAAATCCCCCCCAATAAAATAAAGATTGGGCTTTCCAACCCTAGGTCAATGGAAAGTGGTTGATTGTTAGATGATGACCAGAACATTTTCTACCTCAGTTTTGTAAAGTGGAGGAGGGGAATGAAGATCCCTGGGGGTGCCTACGTACCCCTGCAGATGAAGTTTGGGTTCCAAGTGAACTGGTAGGATCTTGTGCAAAGCATATTCCAGAACGTGTGCTTCCCAGGGAGTGGAGTGGTATTGTAGCAAGCAATATAATTACTACGCTGACTCTGAAATTACTGCCAACTCTTTTGAAATGCCTACTTTTTTAGTCTTTCCATAGATAATTATAAATCCTGAAAGAGAAAAGTGTTTATTTCACCAAATATCATTGTACCAGGCATCGTGCTAGCCCTCAAGGAGGTAGATACGGGTTAGACATTCAGTGAGTTTTTTTTTTTTTTAGTCCGGTTGTGAGGCCTAAACTCAGCCTGGGCACTGTCCTTCAGCTCTTCAGCTCAAGGCTAGCGCTCTACTACTTAAGCCACAGTGCCACTTCCGGCTTTTTTTTGTTTATGTGGTGCTGAGGAATCGAACCCAGGGCCTCTGGCATGCAAGGCAAGTGCTCTATCACTGAGCCACCTTCCCAGCCCCTCCAGTGAGTCTTAAGAAGCCCTGGTGTATTATTTTTTTAATTTAATTTTTATTGTGATTATAAAGATGATGTACAGAGGGGTGACAGTTATGTAAGTTAGGTAATGAGTGTATTTCCTTTTGGACACTGTCTCCCCTTCCCTCGATCTCTCCCAGTTTTTCTCCTCCCATCCCCACTCACAAGTTGTGTCGTTCATTTTCAACACGGTGTCTAGTGAGCACCATCACTGCCTTTGTCCACCCTTTGTCCCTCCTTTGCCACAGTATATTCTTTTTATTGGCTCAGAAGTGACATTACCAAGCATGTCTAGTGTTCTTATTTTATTGGCTCAGAAGTGAAAGTACCAAGCATGTCTAGTGGTCTTATTTGTTAGTCTTGGTTGTTTCCAAAATTAAAAAAAAAAAAGCAACAACAAAAACTACCCTCCAAGAATCCAGGTGTGATTCTACTAAAAGGAGTCAAAACTACTTATCATCTTTAGCAAGGATTAATTCTCATCCCTGTTTGGGGTGATGGTGAGATAATTGTTGGACAAATGTGGAAGAGGATTCATTTGAATGGCATGTGTGTATACACAGAAAGTATGTATTTTTAGATACAGGCACACATGTGTGCATATGGATACATACACTTGCCATGCGTGATCCATCTATAGATGTTAAATCTTAAATCTTTCATCTTTATGAGTGAACTATTGAGTTTTCCAGTAGCTACCTCAGCCCTGAAAACTGACAAGGACTGGTTAATTTGTTGTCATCTATGCCCTCCATTTTTTTCCAGAATTTTAGGGAATCGGGTGGCTGAACTGGAGAAAAAATTAAGAACTCTGGAAGTTTCTGGTTTGTGGAGTCTTCCAGGTAAGCTGAAATTCCTGGAAGCTGGATTTTCTTTTGTTTTGCTTTGTTTTTTAAAAGAAGTACTTGGGTAAATACAAAAAAGATTAATATCATTTTTTAAAAGTATCCTTCTATGTCCTATGCTGGTGGCTTATGCTGACAATCCTAGCTACTCAGGATGCTGAGAGCTGAGAATCGCAGTTTCAAGCCAGGTCAGGTATCAAAAAGTCCATGAGACTCTTATCTTCAATTAACTACCAAGAAACCCGAAGTGGAGCTATGGCTCACCTGGTAGAGTATCATCCTTGAGTGAAAAATCTAAGGGACAGTGCCCAGGCCCTGAGTTCAAGTCCAAATACCAGTACAAAATATTATATATTATTGTCGGTCATGGGCCTGAACTCTGGCCTGGGTGCTGCCCTTGAGCTCTTCAGCTCAAGGCTAGCGCTCTACCACTTGAGCCACAGTGCTACTTCTGGTTTTTCTGCTTATGTGCAAGCACTCCACCATTGAGCCACCAGCCCCCATCTATGTTTATTATATCTCTGCATATTTTTTATTCTTTTATTTTGAGATCATTGCTGAAAAATATAACAAGTATTTTAAATTTAGAAAACATCATGAAGAGAGACAGAATTAGAAAAATATAATCAGTATTCAAATTTTAGGGAGACGCTAAAGTTTTGCTGACTTAAATTCTGAAATTGCCATTGTGTGTGTGTGGGTGGGGGTGTGGGGGTGTGTGGTTAACCTTTGCAAATATAGGGAATTTTTTTTCATCTGTAAGTACCCTATAAAGATTTTTATCAAGGCAATCATCACTCCTAAAAGAAATGTGAGAATATACAAAGATGTGTCCAATGTAATTATTGGTCCTAAAAATGAATGTTAAGATCTTAGGACAATTTGTGTAATTTAATCATCAGTCCTAAAGCCATATGGAAATATGCACAATGATTTGTTCAGTTTAATCACTGTTGTTATAAATGAAGAGCCAACAAATTTTTCTCACCCAAATGTACTTCACAACCACCTTCTCTGCTTTCCCTGTCCCATTTGTATGGAGCTGAAAATGTTCCGGAGAATTTATTTCCATACTTGTACTTTGCAAGCAACTCTGAGATTTCACTTTAGCTATATTTATCCCACTTCTCCTTGTAAAATACCCCTTTTCAGGAGTCCCCATCAGCTAATCTCCATTGTCTTTATACTATTTAGAAACTTATATTTATCATTTTCTAACACCTCCTCTTTCCCTGGAAGGATCGTGGTGCATGTATTTTTAGTCACGTACCCTTTCTGCGCAAAACAGCTCCTCTGCCCTTGACTCGTGTGGGCTGTGTCTTTGTAATGGGGGGGGGGGGGGGGGTGGGAGTGGGGGGTGAAACTTGCCCCAGGGAGGTGGACAACATTGCGTTTGCTTAACTATAAATCTGAGTGGCTGCCTTAGGTTGCCTGGAAGTATGTTTCATAAATTGGAATTTTTAGCAGAGATGCCTTGAACTTGATGTCAAAAGACCCCACCGAACTAATTAGTGGCAAGTGGCATCCTGGAGGTTTGGATGATTCATTTTGCTCAGGACCCTTGGATGCGGTTCAAACCCCATCTTCTGGGAAGGCCACTTCCCATGCACCGAATGTCTGTGTGTTTGAGCAAATCTGTCATTTATTCGTACAGTCAGATTGCCGTGACGTTTTTTTTAATTTTTTTCTCTCAAAATGCCTTTGTAAATTTTTGCTGTTTCATTTCTATAATCTCGAGGAAACAATGGATGTTTGAATGAGTGACTGAATGTTGAAACTTTTCTCTCTGGTGTTTGGTCCAGGTGGCCGTCATGCAATAACAGCTCTTTCTTTCCTTCTCTTGTTCTGCCTGCAGGCCTGAGCTACAATGTCTCTGTAGGATTCGGGAGTATGTTCTTTTTCTTTTTCTTGTTTTTGGTAATATCTGCTTTTGTGACTAATATGAGTGGTGCATTACATCTTTCCTGCATGTGAAGAAGTAGAAATGTGTCTCCTGTGTTTCCTTGAACTTTTCTGACTAGAATAGCCAGTTGGAAGAGAGAATTTAATTAATTCAAAGCAAGAATTAGAGAGGGAAAATTGGCTTTAAGGGACCTGCTGGAATGAATTCTATACTGTGGCTGTGGTTATCTAGTGCCTGACTCCAAGTAGGTGCATCGGGGAGGGGGGAGGAGTGGGCATTCCCAGCTCTGATACAGTGCTTGTAATAGTGACAGCTTTGCCTTGTGTCGAAATATGTACCCATGAAGCATTGCATGATGTATCTTCAGTACCTCATGAAAGCAGGCACGAGGGAGCCTCTCCCTGAACCTCAGACAAGGCCCTCTATCTGCTGATGGCTTTATTTCTCTCCATTTAACCTACTGAATATTGGGATAAGACAAGAGGACATTCTTTTCTTCCTCTTCCTCTTCCTCTTCCTCTTCCTCCTCTTCCTCCTCCTCTTCCCCTCTTTTCTCCTCTTCTTCCTCCTTTTTCTCCTCTTCCTCTTCTTCCTTTTTCTCTTTCCTCCTTTTCTCTTCATCTTCCCCCTTTTTCCTTCTCCTTCCTCCTCCTCTTCCTCCTCTTTATCCTCCTCCTTTTTTTCCTTCTCCTTCCTCTTCTACCTTGCTTCTCCTTTTCCTCCTCCTCCCCTTTCTCCTCCTCATTCTTCTCCTTCTCTGCCTATTCTTCTTTGTCCTCTTCCCAAGTAGGAACCAAATCAACACTAGTAGACACTGAGTTTCAGTGGGAGAAACACCAACCAGACTTGTCAGCACCTCAAAAGGATCAATGTCTTCGCCAGCATGTCAGCCCATCAGTGGGTTGATAGCATTTCAGTGTCCACTTGCATTCAATGCTGTACTGGGAAATGCTGCTTCTCACCCCTTTGGTGGACTCTTAGGCCAGTTGGAGATTCCAGATGCACCTGCATCTGACAGTGAGAGAAAAAAGCATCAAATGGTCCCCACTTTGCACTGAGTAGTGGAGATGGGAGTGTGGGGGTGGGGGAAGCACCCTCAGGGTCCCTTCTGGAAGGTGTAGGCTTTGAGAGTCTCTGGCACATTTGGGGAAGAGGATGAGGACTTCTATGCCATAAGGAATTAGGAGAGCTTGCAGAAGGCCTGTGTGGCATTCTGCCTCGATGGTAGCTTGACCGTCGTTTATTGCCATCCCTCCCGCACTCCACCTGCTAGACCTAAGAAACCAAACGAAAGCTCAGGCATCAGGCCAATGGATTCAAGCTCCATATAGTCAATGTAGATGAGCTCTGCGCTCTCAGAGAAACGATAGAGCTAAGAGCTGTCTCTAACAAAGCCTGAGAACCCTTCGAATATTTAGCAAGCTTCAAATCAGGAGCAGTCTGGGTTCATCCTTTCCACACCTTCACAATGCTTGGGCATGGTGACAGCTGGCTGCTGTTCCCTTGCTCTGCATGCGCCTGGCTCAGACTTTTGCAGAAGTTAACACTGCATTTCTGAGGAGCTGCCATGGAGTTAAGGATGGCCCTGAGTTTGGGTGGGGCCCGTGAGGCAAGGCACATAGAAGATTTCCTGTGAGCTGGGCGCTGGTGGCTCACGCCTGTAATCCTAGCTACTCAAGAGGCTGAGAGCTGAGGATCATGGCTCAAAGCCAGCCCGGGCAGGAAAGGCCACGAGACTCTTATCTCCAATAAACCACCAGAAAACTGGAAGTGGCACTGTGGCTCACACAGTAGAGCTCTTGCCTTGAGCTGAAGAGTGCAGAGACAGCGCCCAAGCCCAGAGTTCGAGCCCCACAACTGACCAAAAAAAAAGAATTCCCATGAGAGGAAGGCTGACAGAGATATTGCAGCTGCTTCTTACCCCACCCACATTTGTAATTCTTTAGCCACTAAGGCAGAAGGGGCATTGGTAAGGTTGGTCATTTTTCTCCCTGAGCCTCTAGAAGGCCAGAGAAAGGCCAGTTCACTTGGCCAACCAAGATGAGCCAAGGAATACAGGGAATACAGCTTTGATCTTGACATGTGGCCTGATCTTGACTTTCTCTCCTTGATGGAGAGAAACTAAAGCCATCCATGATGAGGGCCCCGGCTCTGGTTTCATAGTCACCAAGTCTCAATTGCTATGAACCCATCAGAGCATTTCCAGCTGTGTCTTTGCAGCCCACAAGGGACCTGGTTATGCCAGCTTCCTTCTTAGCATCTCCTACCAACACCTGAGCCACAGGTCAACATTGTTTTTTCGGGAAACCCATCCCAAATGGGTGTCTGGATTTTTTTTTCCTCCATGTGAAAACAGCATGTCTTGTGGAAGCTTGGAGTCCCAGGGGACTCAGCTGGCAGAGAAAGTAGCACCTGTAGCGGGTGGTGACAGGCTCTATCCTTTGAGACAGCTGTAAGCCTGCAGACTCACCAAATGCCAGACTCCCAGGATGCATCACCGGTGGGTCACTCAGACATGACCAGATGTTTACTAAACACCTACAATATGTAAAACTCTCTAACACAGTTTTTGCAGTAAGTTAGTGAGACAGTATGGTGCACAAATAGGAAGGACGAGGGGGGTGGGGTGGGCAGTATAGGGGATTATATCCAGAGGTGGTGTGGTTTTCCAAGAAGAAAAAAATAATAATAGACATCTTCATGCAGCACTATTTGGTGTCTGCTGCCCCTGAAACCGAGGGAAATTAGAGAATTCTAACGCCTAGAACCCACTCAGGGTGCAGGGCTGTTCAGTGGGTTGGTTTCACACAGCTTTCGAGAATCTTACTTATAGTCAAACAGTAAGATTGGAGTGTAGCCTGGACCAAGGCAGCCCAGGGGTTCATTTTTGGAATGATGGTTCCTATCAAGGAATCAAATATGGCACCAAATCCTTCCTGGCAGCCTCTTCTTCCCCGCCCCTCCACACCTCCTCCCCCACGCCCCAGGGTGGCATCATTTCATGCCCACATGTTTTGTGTTTGTGTGTCTGGCCCTCACGCTCACTTTCAAAACTGTTCTATGTGAGCAGCCATGACTTCCGGAATAGGAGTGTGGTGCTTTGTTTACCTTCCCCCATCCTGTGTGCTCTCTCTGCACGCGAGACTATCACACAGATAGACACAAGGGTGTGGTAGAAGTGTGAGCCGAAGGGAAGCTCACCTGGGAGCATTTGGAGGACTTGATACTACCTGCCTCATGGCAGTCACTATTCAATCAAAATGAATTCCAATTGCAATGTAATCAAAATAGAATCAAGCCAGATATATCACTCTTCCTATTTCACAGATGAGAGACAAGAGGCCCAGAGAGGTAAAGTGACATTCTTGATGTCAGTTAGCAAATGACATTCCCAGAGCAGTTAATAGTAGAGTGGGGCCCCAACGCCTGCACTCCTGAGCCCACTGCTACTGTCTTTATTGTTAGTTTGGGGCAAACACGTGGACCACCCTTCAATGGTGGTACTTGTGGGCAGCCATGTCTGAGCAAACTCTTACTGACAGCTGGCCCTCGACCTCACTGCTCCACCCTCCCAGTAGAGAAAGAGCTTGCTGGTCACTTCCTCTCTTCCTTTCCTCCATTGATGAAGACTCCTACTCCAAACAGACAGTTGGTTATGTGGGAGGAAATGTAAGCTAAACTTACCGATGATATGACATGTCTCCTATTTTCCATGGCAGGAGGTAAGGACACCATACTCTTCAATGACTCCACTCTTCCCAATACCCAGCGATCAAGATCCCCACTGCTGAAGTTCGCTGAGCAGCCTTTGAAGAAGCAAATGGATGCCAAAGAGGGTAAGCACATACCTCCATTTCTCCGGCTTGCCTCCTCTGTAGGACAGGCTAAGGAAAGTCCCTTCCTCTCTGCAGCTGCTATGGTACCATTGAGACAGCCCCCCATTTCTTCTCCCTGCTTACCTGAGATCTTGTTGGGAGGTCCTAGCAAAGGAGTGCTAATCCCCTATAAAACCTCATGTTGTAGCAGTTGTTAGAACTTGGGCTAGTGACTCCAATTCTGTTTCTTCTCCCACAAAACGGTGACATGATGGCGTCAACCTCAGAGAAGTCTTAGCCAGTGGCTTGCTGGCTGAGTAGTTGGAAAGAGTCCAGTGGAATGGTGAGAACATCTAACCAGGCACATGGTTCTGGGTAGAGTGGTAGGCGATCAATGGCTCATCTAGGGAGGGGATGAGAACAGCTATGAACACCAGATTCTTCCCATGTGGCAGGCTTGTTTACCTGATAAAACTCTCCTTCACATCTTTTGAAGCTTTGTCTTCTTCCTCCATCCTCAGTGTGAAAGCCAGCTTCCAAGATGGCGCCAACAATCCTTACTCCTCTGTATTCCAACCTTTGTGTTGTCCTCTACCATGTTGTAATCAGCCTTAATGATTATCGGGGCACTGCAGAAGTAATGGGATGGTGCTAGGTCATGAAAGATGAATGGATTGTTCCTTATGCTTCATCCCTCCCTGTTCCTGGTCATCTCTGGAGAAAGATGGCCGCCATGTTATTCAGGTGATCTCACAAGCTACTCCTGTGGTGTGGAGTTGAGGCCTTTAGGCACCATTTTGGAAGCAGATTCTTCACCTCTGTCAAACCTTCAGATGCTGGCAGTCCTGGTTAACATTTGGAAGAAAATTCCATGAGAATCCATTTGTTGGAACCATCCAAATAAACTGTCCTCAGACAGCTTAAGCTGGGTATGAAGCTCTAGGATTTGAAGAAATGGCAGTAGATAACACTGTTATCCACAGATAACTATCAAGTTCTTTCTTTGAACAGCTAAAGTTTTTTCTGCTTTGCCTGCTTAGAGGCCTACCTTCAATTATCAATATCATAAAAATATTCTCTCCCCTCATGCCCCTGCTCTAGGTTCTACCTGCAGCCGGAATCCCATGTTTCCCAGAGCCTAGAACATTCTACTAAACCTTTGGTGGAGTTCTCCAACTCAATTGGTGGATGTCACCAACTCTTTCTGTTTCCTCCCTCTTTTGTCACCCTCTCAGTTACTGAGGCTTGAGACCTAGTGTCCCCTGCTCTTCCCCATCGCCACTTGGTCTGTAGACCAAGTCCTGCTGGGTTTCCTGTATCTGGGCCCCTCTCACCTCCAGCCTGGTTCAGACCTTCTTTTCCCCACCTGGATTTCCTGCCTCCTGTCCTCCCTTGCTTTACTTCCACCCTTCTCCTGTGCTTTAGGATAATCCTTCTGGATGCTTTTGCATCTTATTTTGTGCCCGTCTCGTGATCCAAGTGCTTCTCAACTTTCTTCTATTTCAAATGTCGACTTAGTCTAACTTTCTAACTTGATGATCATCTGACCTTTTATCAAAGTAGACTAGTCAATTGTGTCGGTCAGCTATTGCTGTGTAACAGGTCACCTCAAAACTGCGGGCATTAAACAACAGTAGTGTCTTCTTAGGAGTCCTTGGCTCAGACAGGCAGTTCTGCCCACCTGATCTAGCCTCACCCAGGCTTCTGTGTGCATTTTTACTGCTGTGCTTTGAAGTTTGTTCAATTCATTTGTCACAGTGCATAGAGTGGTAAGAGCAGGAGCCAGGACATGGATTTCAAGTTTCCACAGGAAGTGCCCACAAGTACTTGTGAGGGAATTGTTGGAGAGAGCCCCTGATTCTGGTAGGCTCCCTGCTTGACCTTCCACTACACGTGTCTGTTTGCAAGACGGGCTTGTAGCACACTAGAGTATATCATGTCTCAGCTGGTGGTCATCTCATATCAGCATCCAGCATCCATCTGAAGATCCAAAGCCTTCTGTCTGTTCTGGACCTGCTGAGACTTGAGTGGGCTTGGGCCTGATAAATTAGAATGGAGTAGGAGCTGTGCTTGAATCTCACAAGGGCCTTAGAAGTGATGCTGTAATTCAATGTGATAGCGTCCAGAGCTCCATCATCAGCACCCATTGTTCCCACCCGGCTTTCACTGGTGCTGAGGGAACAAGGAAGCATTCATGGGGCTGCTGTCAGTGTCTGGACGCATGGCCATCACAGCCCTAGTTAATTCCAGCTGAAAGCCAAGCACATGCAGAAGAACAAAGCCTATCAGAAAGCTGCTAACAAAGGAAGACAAATATCGCCTTTGGGCCAAGGAGGGGGGACACATTTCTAGCGGCTTAGTGATCGGCTTCTACAAAGTGACATCGTTGGGTATTTTTTTATTCATCGTTTTTCTTTCCACACTATTTGTGTCATGATGCATTTGTATCAGCTATTGCCTCGTCATTCTTGATATGCATATGGTTATTAATAAGTATTCATGATGTTAATTTGCTTTGCTAAAACACCACAGAATAATCACTATTATTTGCAATAATATTTTCCTAGTTTGGCTAGTTCAGAAATCTTGCCATTCTGGAAATGCCAAAGCTACGTGTCTGTGAGTCTGTTCTAAAGGAGAAAGGACACTCTCATCGCTGAGTTCATGTCCAGAATCTTAAAGTGAAAGGAGACGTTGGCCTTAAAAGGTACTGAGAGGTGCCAATGATGGACACGGAGTTGTGACACATTGAAGAAACACCTGTGTCCTGACAATTCCTGGAGTACTTTTAGGATCATAGATAAACGCAAGGGGAAAATGAATGGGTCAGCCCTACTTTGACCTGTAATCCTACCTCAGAACCTGGCCTCTGGAGCTTCATGGTCCTGGCACTCTGAATGTCCATCTAGCCTTTCTCAGAGGAAGCAAATGCCAGATGGGACCTCCTAAGCCAATTATAGCCTGTGCCCACTTGTCCTTCATTGTGACTGTGGGTTTTTATTGTTGTTTGTTTGCCAGTCGTGAGGCTTGAACTCGGAGCCTGGGCTCTATCCCCAAGCTTCTTTTGATCAGGCCTAGTGTTCTACCATTTAGCCACAGCTCCACTTCCAGCTTTTTGGTAGTTAATTGGAGATAAGAGTCTCACAGGCTTTCCTTCCCCAGCTTAGCTTTGAACTGCAGTCCTCAGATCTCAGCATCCTGAGTAGCTAGGATTACAGGTGTGAGCCACTGGTGCCTGCCTGTGACTATGCTGTAAATCCATACTGAGTATCCCCCATCTCCACCAAAAAATATTAAGCAGCTTCCCTGGTACACTGTCATAGGTTTTCCATTAAAGGAAAAGAGTCCCATCTGCACATGAGTTGAATATAATCTAAAGAAATTATACAAGGAAATATACCAGTGAACAAACATGCCAGTATCATTTCAGCCTCCCCAGTATAAATGCAGGTAAAGGTGAAGAGAATTAACCTGACTCGATAATAAAAAAAAAAAAAAAAAAAAACGTACTGCAAAGGGCTTAGGGGTGAAGATGCGGCGAGTAAGGTTAATTAATTTTTCAGGGGCAAGAATATACTATGAAGTATCCTAGAGGAAGTAATTCCACAGGAGTAATTTCCAAAGGGAGTTTATTCATCTTACACATTGAAAAATTTAGCTTCAGACAATATCCTATTTTATTCTGTTGTAATCAACTTGGTCATTCTGGGAAACTTGTTCCTTTTCCCTCACTGTACAACCACTATAAAAATGTTCATTTGGAGCCAAGCACTGGTGGCTCATGCCTGTAATCCTATTTACTCAGGAGGCTGAGATCTAAGGATCATAGCCAAAGCCATCTAAGGCAGGAAAGTCTGTGAGACTCTTATCTCCAGTAAACCACCACCAAACCAGAAGTGAAGCTGTGGCCCAAAGTGGTAGAGCAACAAATCTGAGGGATAGTGACCAGGCCCTGAGTTCAAACCCCATGACCAACAACAACAAAAGCTCATTTGTTAATGTGAAATTTATGTGATTGCTTTCCCAAGCTACCTTTAATGTAGCTAAATGTTTGTGCAAGGTAGAAAGCTTTTTCTTTGTTTTCAGAAAGTACCATTTGAAGAAATTTAAGGGTAGCTACCTGTACACAACCAAAAATGAATACAAGGAGCACATTCATATATTAATGCCAGGTGTTTAAAGATGTGTGTTAATATATTCAGGTATTCATGCATACATGGATAGGTCTGTATACTCAAAAACATTTAATAAATAGTGATTGAATCCCTACTATAGCACACTGACAAGATTTTAAAAAATTAATCAGGACAGGTTTTATACTAATGGTAGTTATAAATAACAATTTGAGAAATAAAAATTAATATATCTGATAATAGACTTGTGGGAAGTTGGACATGGAGATAGGACTTGTGTCCACATTTAGTCAAATAGGCTTATGTGGCAGACAGGGAGGTAGGGCCGACTCACAAGATCTGTCTTTGGGATACAGAAGGGAATAATAGTCCCACTCTAAGCAAGGACACTGGCGCAGAGGTGGGTTCAATGAAGGGCTTATGTAGTTGGAGGGTGAAAATACAAGGAGAGGATTTGGGACATGAAGTAGCAAGGGAGATGGGCATTGGGCCATAGAAGGCTATGAGTGACAGGTGACAAGCTTAGGCTGTGTTCCTCAGGCAGACACAGCCTTTGAAGGTTTCCATTTTGGACTTCTGACCTCCAGAACTGTAAGAGAATCAGTATACATTGTTTGAAGTAGACAGTCATTTGTTATAGCAACTGTAGGAAACTAATACAGCATGCTCACAGTACTAGATTAGGAGGACAAACAGCAGAATATGGGGATGTTGCAGAAACCACAGGCAGAGGCAGCTTGAAAAGATGACATGGCCAATGGAAATGCATGGTACAGAACTGGGGACCCAAAGAGAACAAACACGGGAGCTGAGGAGGCAGACCTCATATCAGGGAGGGGCAGGGAGGACGCAGGACAGAGAAGGTATCATCGGGATTGAGAAATGGAGGCAGATAAATTCATGAGACCCTTATATCCAGTAACTACTAAAAAGCCAGTATTAGAGCTGTGGCTCCAGTGGTAGAGCCTTGAACAAAAAAGCTAAGGGACAGTATGTACCCGTGCCCTGAGTTCAAGCCGCAGCTTGTGTATGTCAGCACATATCACACACACACACACACACACACACACACACACACACACACATACACACACACAGAATAGACAGGAACTCTGAGACTAGAAAGACAAAGCAACCATGGGTGGTGGAATCTTGGAACTTGCAAATCTTGCTTTTTACTTTCTTGATTATAAAAGAAGCACACGTGCCTCTTGTTGTTTGTGTGCAGTACTCGGGCTTAACCCCCAGGTCTTACACTTACTAGGCTAGCATAAAAATTTAAATCTGGCAGAAGGATGAAGTGAAATGTAAAGATTTCCTCCGCCTTGGCTGCCTGTCCTCATGCTGCTCCCCAGAGGCACCAGGTAAGCCATCTCTAGTCAGCAATCTGCAATTCCCCCCAAATCTGAAACTCTTGATTGCTTCCATGATGCAAGGAGTGGAAAATTCCATACCACCCTGTCAACATGTGACAGGTCACGGTCAAACACAGGCACAGTAAGAATATTGTATAAAATTGCTTTCAGCTATGCATAGAAGATGCATATGAAACAAATTACTTTTCATGTTTAGACTTGGGTCCCATCCCAAGATATCTCATTATGTATATGCAAGGATTTCAAAATCTAAGAATATCTGCAAGACTTCTGATCTCAAGCATTTTGGATAAAAGATACGCATCCTGTACACTGGAAAGAATTTTACAACCTGCTGAGTGCAATTTTATACTTAATCTCCCATTGATGCACACACAGGTAACATCCAGGTGCTTGCTATTAAAGTGTTGGTGTTGTTGTTATTGTTTTTTGAAACCAGTCTGGAAGTTTGTATTTGACATGTTGGCTCATTAGCTGGATTTCTCCCACCTGAACCATGCCTCCAACCCCATCAGTGTTGTAGCAAACATGCAAAAAAAAAAAAAAAGAGACTTGAAATGTTTGGGCTGCTATGCATTGGTAGCTTTGCCATAAAAGGATTACCTATATGGTTCCCGTGGATATTGTCCGAAAGACCCGTAAAAGACTTTTTCTGCCTTCCTGTCCTCCTAAGTCATACGAAGTTCTGTTTCCCTACACACCTTTAACAACATTGAGCTTTCTGAATCCTTTGAATTTTTTTTTGCCAGTTTCATCAGTGGAATCCTGTTGTGATTTAGATTACAATTATGAATGGTATTATGAATTATTTAAAGTGCTCTCTCCTTCCTCCCTGAGCCCTTACTGGGGTGTTTGCATACTGGCTGCTGCTGCTGCTTTTTTTTTTTTTTTTTTTTGGCTGTGGGGCTTGAACTCTGGGTCTGGGCGCTGTCCCTCAGCTCTTCAGCTCAAGGTTAGCGCTCTACCACTTGAGCCACAGCACCACTTCTGGTTTTTTTTTTTTTTTCTGTGAACATACTGTACAGAGGGGTTACAATTACATGGGCAGGATAATGCGTACATTTCTTACCAAGCATTGCAGCCTCCTCCTTTGGTTTACCCTTCACATCCCTTCCCAGCTTCCCCCCTCCCCCCCAATCCCAACCCTTCTCCAATCACTTCTGGTTTTTCTGGTGGTTTACTGGAGATAAGAGTCTCACAGACTTTCCTGCCTGGGCAGGCTTTGAACTATGATCCTCATATCTCAGCCTCCTGAGTAGCTAGTATTATAGGGATAAGCCACCAGTGCCTGGCTGCATGCTGGCTTCTTAACAACCAGGTTTTGGCTAGGTACCAGTGGCTCATGTGTGTAATCCTAGCTACTCAGGAAACAGATCTGAGGATCATGGTTTGTAGCCAGCTCCAGAAGAAAAATCCCTGAAACTCTTATCCCCAATTAACCACCCAAACGTCAGAGCTTTGAGCTGTGGCTCAAGTGGTAGAACATGAACCTTGAGCCACAATGCTCACCATCAATGCCCAGGCCCTGAGTTCAAGCCCCAGGACCATCACAAAAACAAAATAGGTCCTGTAATCCTCCTGGGCCCTGGATGGAAGAGAAGAGGACCGTGTCAGTGCTCCTGGGCCCTGGATGGAGGGGAGAAAACCACATCAGTGTTCATGGGCCCTGGATGGAGGAGGGGGGGGGACCATGTCAATGCTGGTGAGGTTGGAGGCCCCACAGGAGAGCAAAGTGAGGAGGCTGACTTGCAGCCAGAGGTTTGACATTGTCTTGTGTTTTCAGGGGAGGCTCAGCAGCAGGAAGGAGATGAAAGGTGTGGTTCTGTGGCAGCACTGACAGCACCAGAGGACGCCGCCGTGAGGCCTGCTGTCAGCTCCCTAGCAAAGGCGAGCCTGGGGAAGCAGCGCACTTGCTTTCATCACCCTTCCTTTTCCCACTTACCTTCAGAGGAAGAAGTAAACAGGCTGGGAAGGGAAGGAATTAAACTGACAGAGGAACAGGCAGCTGCAGGGCTGGAGGGGGTCAGAAGAGAAAGGGCCATGGAGGGACAGCAGAGTGAGCCAGGACCACCTACACCTGGCCTGGCCTATCACAGGGAGGGGCCCAGATCCCTGCTGGGCGACCTGGAGACCGCCCAGCCCGGGATGGAAGCCTCCTCCCGGGAAAGCAGAGAAGAGATCCCAGAGGACCGGGACACCACCAGGGGAGCCCGGCAAACCTGAAGAGGAGCCTGGTGCACTCGGTGACACCATGAAGGTACCCAGGAGGAGGGCAAAAGAAGGACGTGACAGAGCGCACACCCAAGTTCCTTCCCTCTGCAACACCTCTGCACCTGCAAATGAGAAAACACTCGTGCTGCCACAAGCTGCGAACATCCACGGTGCCAGTTCAGCAGCATTCATGAAACGCCACCCTCCGATTTCTTATGTCATCACCTTCTGCCTGTCCTGCTGCTGTGAGCCGGGCTTGCTTGGAATCATGGCAGCCATATGGCCGCTTGTTGACATCCATCTTCCTGTCAGCATTTCTTTTATTAGAGATAAGATTTTTTTTTCTATTAGCGTTTAATGTTGGCAATCAAAATTGTAGGAAGGGCTGGGAATGGATGGGGGTTTTAAGCAGGTCTCTGTCGTGATGGTGAGGTAGCTGGAGAGGCAGGTGTACTTGAGCATAAGGTGTCCACAGGACTTCATCATGGCAGCCTGCTCCTTCCAGGATCTCCCATCATGGGTGTGCCTGGCACCCTGCCCACAGCACTGCCTGTCACAGCTGGCACTGGCAGGAAGAAGGAGACCCACGCAGGCCCCGGGAAGGTTGGGCTTTGGGTTTGAAAGGAGTGGCCTCTGCTGAGGCTGTTTGTTGATGGTTAGCAGCCCCCTCTTCCCGCCCCCCCACATTGTCCAGCCTGTGAGTCGTTGGCAGGATTAACTGGTTTGGTGGGGAGGGAGAGTCTCCTCGGAAGAGTGAAGAGTCCGAAGAGTCGTCTGAGGTTGTGTCTCTGAGCTGATGTGAGCGTTTCCACTAGAAATACTGGTTCTCTCTATTGGGTCTGTGCTACATATAGGATTGCCTGGCCAGTTTGGGTTGAGGGGAAAGCGAGTTGCCTAGGGCTAGTCTAGCTTCCTATACTGTCCTTGAATTGTTTACTCCTGTGGCAGAATGTCACCTTTGTGCCACTAGGTGCTGGGGCCCTACAGGAAAAAGAAGAAATGAAACCAAAATGCCTGAGGGGAGGGTCTGTCTTACCTGGTTCTTCTGAGCTATGTTAGGGTAGTACCCTGGGCTGCAGAGAAGTGCAGGCTCACCGAACCATAGGCTGTTCTTTCCCTGGGAGGCTCTGAGAGCACAGCCTGAAGTATAGAGCAGCAGGATGGCTGTCCTCCGATGTACTCCAGCAGGAGCGAGGCTCCAGGGTGACCAGTTCAGCCTCAAATCCCCATGTCAGTGCCCTGGGGGTCAAGATGATGTCTGATGACATCCTCAGGGATGTGCTGTTCATCCCTGTGTTCCAGACCATCCCCAGGGCCACTCTGTAACATGCCACCCCACCCCACCCCACCCTGAGAAGGGGTACTTATGCAGCTTTAAGCCCTCACACGCCAGCAGACCCAGAAACCACTGTCCTGCCACTCAGCTTCACGGGATCAGCTGTCCACAACACCAGAGCTAACTGAGGAACACAGCCACACTTAATACAGTGATAGTGAAGAAGAAAACACTTGACCTCTGCAAGCTCTGGTTTTGACCCACGCTGGGCAAAATGAGCAGCCCAGGGCTGGCTCTGGAAAGCGGGACTTGTGGTGAGCTCCAATGCAGTCCATCAGATCAGTAGGACTCACTGGGTCCCAGAGAGTCTGTGCTTTGGAGAGTTAGGAGAGACATAAGTTCAACTGTGTGTGCAAGCAGCCCAAGTGGCTGTTATTAGATGGAAGGGGAGCCAATGAGCTGATCCTGTCACAGGGTTACCATGACAACACCCCAGTCTCCTATGGGACGCTGTCCCACTTCTGTTGTCCCCACCCAGTATGATTCTTCTGTTCCCTTTTCCTTTCCAAATATTAAAAGAGTTTCAGCAGCTACTTGTGGTTGTCTTTTGTCTTCTTAAGATTTATTAGCAGGGCTGGGAAGGTGGCTCAGTGGTAGAGTGCTTGCCTTGCATGCACGAGGCCCTGGGTTTGATTCCTCAGCACCACATAAGCAGAAAAAGCCAGAAGTGGCACTGTGGCTTAGGTGGTAGAGCGCTAGCATTGAGCTGAAGAGCTGAGGAACAGTGCCCAGGCCAAGAGTTCAGGCCCCACAACTGACTCTCCTCCCCCACCCCCAAAAAATAGTCATTAAAAGGGCCAGACACCAGATAGTTAAGGCCTGTAATCATAGCTACTCAGAAGGCTGAGATCTGAAGATCATAGTTTAAAGCCAACCCAGGCAGGAAATCCCAGGAGGCTCTTATCTACAATTCACTGGCAAAAAAAACCAACAATAAAAAGAACACTGGACCTGGAGGTATGACTTGAGTGTTAGAGTGTCAGCCCTGAGTGAAAAAGCTAAGGGACAGCCCTTAGTTCAAGCTCCAGTACCAGCACACACAAAATAGAGGCCTTGTAAAGGCAGTCATCATACAATCTAATAAGCCACACTTACAGAAACTTAAAACAATAGGATAGTGAATATGATGACATCACCAGAGCTGGGTACTAGTGGCTCACACTTGTAATCTTAGCTTCTTAGGAAGCTGAGATCTAAGGGTCATGGTTCAAAGTCAGTCTGGGTAGGAAAGTTCATGAAACTCTTATCTCAAGTTAACCACCAAAGAACCTGAAGTGGAGCTATGGCTCAAAGTGGTAGAGCATTAGCCTTGAGCAAACAACAGCTTAGGGATAACACCCAGGCCCTGAGTTCAAGCGCCACACCACCACCACCACCACCACCACCACCACCACCCCCCGCAAAAGAAATCACAAGAATTCTGAATTACAGCATCTAGGGCTGGTTCATTTGAGAAAGTCTCCAGGGGTCTAGTGTTCACCTGTCTGCTTTGCTTGTTCTGTGTCAGTTACTCCCTCATGACAGTAAAATAGCTGCAGCAGCAGTAGCAGATATCCGTGTTCTCACATAGGGAGTTGCTCCCTCCCTGTATATATATATATATATGTGTGCACTTTAAGAACAAGAAACAGTTCTGGCCACATTTTCTTAATCAAAATCATCAATTGCTTATGTAACCATCTTGCATGCCTAGGTCTAAACCAACTCTTAGCAAGGAGACGATATTATTGTTTCTAGATTCATGCACTAGAAATGCAGACACTAAATGGGCAACCATCAAAACAAATCACATCTTAGCAGTGCAGTAGCATTAGGAATTCGATTTAAGTAGACTTGACTCGGCCATCAGTGCTATCTCTGAACCCCACGTGTCCTTTTTATTCTTTATGTTTTAGGTAGGGGTTGGGGAGGGGCTGGTCTTTCATATCTTTTGTTTTTTTAAACTATATCCCTGTTTTCTAGTCATGTGTTCTAGGCATGTGCTACCCTCTACAGGTGCATTTGTCCCTCTATTCTTTTTCCAGTTTGGTGCCAGCAGAAGGCAGAGCCGTAGTGGATAAATGAAACTGAGCTGACAGGTCTCTTAATGAAAGCTAGTTTGCACACTCTGCCGGTCTCCTGACCACTCTGTACCTGCGAGCCCTTAGGTGTGGATTTTTACATATGGGTGTTTGTCTTCCTTTTAATTAAGGCCTGTGGAAATGGATTGGTGTTAGAAAAACAGTCATTTGTCATCTCTAACTCCTTCCCTTTACAGGCCTTTCCTGCCCTGCTTGCACTCTTCCTTCCTCTCCCCTTTCTCCTTCAGTGTCCCCAGGAGACAGGCAAATGTAAGTAAATGTAAGTAAACTGAGGGGTTTTTCCCCCGTCGTTTCTCCTCTTCCATATTTTCCCAAACAAACGTATCCTCAACCCAATGTGAAGTTCCAGAAAAAGGCTCTGCTGTCCAGTGTTCATGTGTTTCTGTGATTTTTTTTTTGATGTCTTTCTTTCACGGAGTATATTTGTACCCCAGCTCGCCGGATGGCATAGAAAGTCTAGCTGTCTTCTTTTAACACTCCCAGACCATGAGACTTGCATATTACATCTTTCTTCCCTGTCTCTTTACAATGACAGTGTGTCTTTGCCTTTCTCAGTTTTCCATGCCTCTGAAAAGATGGGGTGTTCTTCTGGCTTCACTGTGTTCCTGTGGGTGAATGGGTACTCTCTTTCTCTTTGATAAAGAGCATCTTCTCCCTCTGCTTCTGTTCTAGAAGCCTGGGTTTGTAGCAATGCTTTTCCTTAGTAGTATGGAGAGCAAGATGTCCAAAAATCCAAGCAGGCCCCAACTTGCTGCTTTCAATATAGTCCTTTTCCCCAGCTGACTGTCTGTACAGAGAGAAATGAGAAGACTGAGAGATACAAATGGGACTTCAGTAGTGAATCTAATTAGAAAGAGAAGTAGAAAAATATAAGATGAACTTGGTCCTAAATATCATAGTTGTGGTTACACACACACACACACACACACACACATACACACACACACACACACGATACAGCAGGAAGGCAATTTAAAATGCTGGATATGTCTCAAACTAAGCACCCCCTCTTCATTCAGTGAAGCTTATTCCAGATATGCAAAGAAGGTCTGCATAATGCTGAAAGTTTTCTCTGGAAGGTCCGTGGGAACTCAGAAATAGAGTCTGGAACTTAGTGGAAGCCAGTGATCACTAATTAAATTTAATTTTTAAAAAATTATTGACACCACCCCCCTCACCCCTGCACTAAACAACAGATGCTGTTTTGTATGGGATTTCTGATGTTGTTATCGGGGTTTTTGTTGTTGTTGTTTTTTTTTGTCAGTCCTGGAACAGAACTCGGGGCCTGGGTGCTGTCCTTATGCTCTTTTTGCTCAAGGCTAGTGCCCTACCCTCTTTGAACTATAGTGCCAATTCTGGTGGTTAATTGGAGATGAGTCTTATGGACTTTCTTGCCCAGGCTGGCTTTGAATCACAATCCTCAGATCTGAGCCTCCTGAGTAGTTAGGGACCAGCTACCGGTACAGGGCTGTCTTTGGTGTTTTGAGTTTTGTTTTTTCTTTAATTAAAAAAAAAGCCAGTTCTGGGGCTTGAACTCAGGTCTCTTACTTGTTTTTTTCCTCTTAAGGCTGGTGCTCTACCACTTGAGCCACAGCTCTACTTCCAGCTTTTTGGTGATTAACTGGAGAATCTCATGGACTTTTCTGTCCAGACTAACTTTAAACCTTGATCCTCAGATGTCAGTCTCCTAAGTAGCTAAGATTAGAGGCACAAGCCACCAGCACCCATCTTTATTTTCTAGTTTTAATGAAAAGTAACTTCATTTTCAGACTTTACTGTATTGGATTCTACAATAATCTTGCTATATAACTATCTCCTTTGTTACCTGAAATTAAAATGTGATCATTTTCTTGATAGAATGCTTATCTGTATTATTTGCATCATTCTCTCTCTGCCATCATAGCAGGCCAAACATTGTTTCCAGCATACTGTGCAGTGTATAAGTTGTGTTCTGTCAGCTATATTATCTGATCATTCAGTAGTTGTGAAAAACATGGCGAATGTAAAGATTTTATGCATTCAGTAAAAAAAAAAATGCAGATCTAAAATCAGTTGGCTTATTTCCTGCAGTTTTTCAAGCTGACCAAAGTGCTCACTAATTTGCTCTATTTTCTTACATTTTTAGTATTTCTGTGTATGTGCACTAAAAATCCCCACTCAGAAAAGAAAAATGAACTGCCATTCTGAGAAAAAGCTTATCCTAAACATCTAAAGATAGCATTTCTAATTATTGTCTACATTGTGTTTAAACGATGCAAACTTGAACATTATTCTCACTTTGCCAGCTGTGTCTAGGTAGAGTCATTACATCAAACACTTCTAATTTTACAAAAAAGAAATCAAAACAAGTGTGTGTTTTAAGTCTCAGTGACAAATGCAAACCCTGTGAGTCAAACAGGCAAACTGATTAGCAAGCTGGCTGGGGGAGTGGAAACAGCAAATACAAGGAGATGAGCCAAACCGACCTGCGAGCTGAGAAGAGTAAAAATAGATGCCAGGAGTCAAGTGGGGTCCAGTGGGCGGTCTTGGTGGCACACATTAGGTCTGGTGCCGAGAACCAGACATCTGTCTTCTGGCTCACATCTCACCTCTAAGGTCCCCTTCCATCAAGAACTTGGGTGGTGGGGTTCATCTCAGCCTGCCTCGGGATGGATGCAGAAATCCTCAGCAGCTTCAGAAGTAAAAATCTTCTCCTTCATCTGAATTCTAATACATAGGTGACACCCACTGCTTTACCGTGTTGTCTAAAGCATTATTGTTAGGGGGCTGCTTTTCTGGGCCATCTTTATCAAGTAGGTATTAATTCGATCTTTATTAAGCATGTGTGTTATGCTATGCACCTCTCATGAATAACTACTACTCTCTGACTTCAGCCTAAAAACCCGAAGAATAATCCAGTGTGGTGATCTCATTTTACAGATTAAAAATTATCCAGGCTCGGAGGGGGAGGAGGGATATGTTTTATTCCTTGCTCCTGGTTCACATACCTTTCTATTGTGGAAACAGATAAGGGCATCCAAGTAATATCAGGATATTTAAGAAAACAACAACAACAACAACAAAAAACCCTACCCTCATGCTGAGTGCTGGTGGCTTATGCCTGTAATCCTAGCTATTCAGGAGGCTGATATCTGAGGATTCCAGTTTGAAACCAGATCAGGCTGGAATGTCTGTGAGACTCATCTCCAATTAACCAGCAAAAAGCCAGAAATGGAGCTGTGGCTCAAGTGGTAGAGCACCAGCCTTGAGCAGAAAAACCTAAAAGACAAGACTCAAGCCCTGAGTCCAATCCCAGTACCATCACAAAAAATAGATTAATTAATTAAATGTTTAAAAATCTCTTGCTAATTCTGCTTGGTGCTGACTTGCATGTTTCAAGTTAATATTCCAAACCAGTTAGCAGAGCAAAGTCACCAGCCTTTACTCCACTTGTCTCTAGAGTTCAAGGAAAGATTCGAAAATACCAAGTTAGTCCTGGTTTGAGGTAAATAAATAAATAACCACCAGGGTAGGGTTTCTGGATGCAATTCAGTCTGACTCACTGCCTAAGGAGTCTGGGAGAAATGGGAACTGCCTCCCAGGCTGGAAAAGACACAGCTGGGCAGCCAGTCTACCCTGCAAGGCAGAAGTTGGCAAGAATACCTTTATTGAGTAAACAAAAGGGTATAGTCATACACCAGACTGATCGAATGTTCTAGAAGGCCCTCCACCCCAATTTGCCAGTTCACCTTCGTGTCCTGCCTATGGAAAGCCAGTCACTTCAGGTACCTACATCAACTCCTTGGAATTTGCCGGGTCACATGGGGTTCCAGACCCTGACCTTTGGGAAGTGGACCAAAGACTTCCTTCCCAGCAGGGAGCATGGGGGTGGGGAAGCCACCTGCACAGGTGGCTCACCTCCTTCCTTCCTTCCCAGGTCGATGGTTCCAGACCCCTGAGGGGTCAGGTCACGGAGGGGGGGGGGGCCCTGGGAGATGCTGAAGGGGTCCTGGGGACACAGAGGGGGTCCTCGGGGACACAGAGGGGGCCCTGGCAGATAGCGAAGGGGTCCTGGGAACACAGAGGGGATCCTGGGGGGTCACAGAGGGGGTCCTCGGGGACACAGAGGGGGCCCTGGCAGATAGCGAAGGGGTCCTGGGGACACAGAGGGGGTCCTGGGGGGACACAGAGAGGCTTTGGGGGACACGGAGGGAGTCTGGGGGAACATGGGGGATCCTAGGGGAAACAGAAGGGGCCCTGGGGGACAAGGGGGGCCTAAGGGACACGGGGGGTAGGGGACACAGAAAGGATCCTGGGGGACACAGAGAGGGTCTTGGGGACACAGAGGGGGTCCTGGGGGACACGGCGGGGATCCTGGGGGACATGAGGTGTCTTGGGGCACGAAGGTGACCGCGGGTATGTCTGGGGACAGAAGGACGCTTAGGCACACAGGCATCCTGGGGTGTGGACTCCTGCAGAGACACAGGGCCCTGGAGCGGAGGGGGGCGGGCGGGGCTCAGGGGGCCTGGCAGTGGCTCTCACGCCTGCGCTTCCGGCGCTGGTTCCGCTCCTGCGCCCAGCGGCTCGCCCAGGCCTCGGGCCCAATGGTGCCCACCACGCAGCAGGCGAGGCGTGGGCCCGCGTTGCCGTTCTCCAGGCTGGCCGGGTTGCCGCCGCGCCCCAGGTCGTCCTCGCCCGCGTGGACCACGACCGCGCGGCCCACGATCGAGTGCGCCCCGGAGAGGGAGGCGGCCAGGCCCGCGCGGAACTTGGACAGGCGGCCGTCGCGCACCACGAAGTTGCCGAAGTCGCCCGGGTGGTCGGGGTGCGCCACGGCCCGCGGGTTGTAATGGGGACCCGTGGACTCGCAGCCCCGGCTCAGGTCCCCGAACTGGTGGACGTGGATGGCACGCTTGGAGCTGTTGAGCTCGGCCGGGAAGCCCTCCAGGTCGAAGAAGGCATCCAGCCTGGCGCCCGGGGCGGGCTGCCGGAAGAGGACCCGGCCGGTCACCCGGGGCTGCGCGCCGTCCAGCCCGGCGGACGGCTGCACCTGGCAGGCGGCGTGCAGCGCGGCGCCCCGCCCGCCGTCGGCCTCCTGCTGCGTGAACACCCGCCAGATCTCCAGCACCTTTGCGTGCACGTCACGGATCTGCGCTGCCAGCTCTGAGCTGATTTCCACCGGGCTGGGGACATTCCAGGTGGCAGAGATCCGGGCGGCCAGAAGCAAGCTGCAACAAAGCAGGGCCAGCATGCTGGAGCCGGGCACCTGCGGGGCGCACCCCGGGGGAGGGGGAACACAAAGCAAGGTTTAGCCACTTGAGACAGCAAATCTTGGGGACCCCCTTTGTCATCAGATCCACCAACCACACCACACACACACACACACACACACACACACACACACACACACACACGAGTGTCCCCAAGGGGCTGGCCCAGCCAGCATGCAAGGTCTCATCTGGCAACTCGTCCAGGCCTCCCCCCCCACCCCCCCTCCCGTGCCAGGCAGGGACAAATGAGGATTAGGTACTGTTTGCGCATGTGTAGCAGGCCAGAGAGCGGATGTGTGCGGCGCCAACCTGCTGCGGTGGGGTAAGGGGCAGAGGAGCAGATGTTTGGAAATCTAGTTCTGGGGACTTGAAAGGGACAGACAGCTGGCCCTGTATATCAGCTTCTGGTTTCTAAAAAAATCAGATGCACAAGCCTCACCCAAAAGATTCTACTGCATGGGCTTGATATGTGTGTGTGTGTGTGTGTGTGTGTGCGTGTGTGTGTGTTTAAGTAGTTGGATAGAGGAGCTAACATTCCACAATTCAATCTGATAGTCTGATGTTGATTCTTTTTTAAAAGGAAAAATTTTAAAGATTCTGGGTCCCAGCTAGAGGGCCCCAGATCACAGAGCAGAACTCAGATTTGCACCTCAGTTACACTACACGCAGTCCACCATGTGTATTGCTCAAGCTGCTTCTATGAGATGTCAGAGTCTTTGCACAGAACCCAGGATTAGGGAAGGATAAAACTATGCAAGAAAGGAGACAGGAGCCCTCATCCTAAACCCAAAGAACCCAGGAGCCTGTCCTGGGTTGCCTTGGCTTGTTTTCAATCCCTCTGCTCGCTCAGTGCAGCCTGTCTGGGAACCATAGCCAGCTAGATCCTCAGCCTTCTGTCATTCTCAAGCCTAGTAGCTTTCAGGATACCTGGCTTAGTAGAGTAGAAACACCTAAGCCACAAAGTGACCAAAGGTAGCCTGCGGTTACCATAGCACCTGAGTCCTCTTGGATTGGGCATGGTCCAATGTCGACAGAGCTACGCTTCTTCCTTCCTCCGTTCCTCCCAGCTCCCCTTTCCTTTAGCAGCTATCTCAAGCCTTCTCCATTACCCACTGCCTTAGCCAGCTGGAACAGCACACTCAGGGCAGAAGGAAATGAACATCAACTTGGTACCCACCTGTCCCACTCTCCTAGACAGCTTTCCCTCTGCAAAGTGGGGAGCGCCCAGCCACAAGCCTGGATGAAGACTGCCTTCTCCAGAGACAGCCGGCTGTTTGTGAGCTCAGGGAGGCCAGCCCCAGGGAGTGGTCACCAACAGAGAAGGTCATTGGGCCAGTGGAGAGAGGAGAAGCCAGCCAGGCGTCCCTTGTGGGGAAATTGCCTCCCTTTCCCCTCCTCCTCCGCCCCCCCCCCACCACCCCGGACTGGCTTTTCTTGCCAAGAGTGTGTTTTTGTGACCTACCCAGCTGTGCAGACGCAGGCAGTGACCTTCAGTTGTCAGCAGTAGAGTCAAAAGGAGAACGAAAACATTTCATGGAGAGGGGCACAATGGCCTCTTTATGGAAGGGCCTCTTATTCCCCCCCCCCGATTTCTCCAGCCCTCCACTTCTTTTTGCTGGACACGGGGGCATGTTTAAGACATGGGAACTGTGTGTACCCTTCTTTCCAGAACTACTGCGCCTCACCTGGGAAAGGTGATGACTGGCATTCAGCCTCAGCGGTCCCAGCTTTGCCACTTCCTACCGGTCAGTGTCTGGGCCATGGCATTCCTCCCTCCCCTCCCCTCTTTCCCCCTTCTCTCCCCTCCCCTCCACAGTTGTAAGATGGATCCCGGACACTGGCCACTTGTACAGGATCCCAGCAAGGATTAAATGAGATCATCACACTTCACCTTCGAACCCAGTGCCTGGCTCTCATAACTAATGACATTAGTATATATCATAAACACTGGCAGCATCAGTAAGTAGCACCACGGCTGTTTGTCATGAAGGTGACAGAGGAGCTTTGGAGAAGTTTGCAGGGTCTGGAGGTGAGCCATAAGCCGTTCCCTCCAGGGGGTCTGTTTCCCCTTTACTGCCTTCTCCATCACAGCGGCTCTTTCCAGAAATAGAAGCTTCCCTTTCCCAGAAAAGCCCACACGGGAAAAGGCAGCTTGCTGCTGCCTGCCGTCCTCCTGTGTTCCGGCAGCGAATGGTTATTGGGTGCTTGCTCCCTGCTAGGCGCTGTGCTGTGCAGGGGGCTCAAAGCTGTGAGCCTCTGTCCTTTGGGATTCACACACGGAGGAGGGACACAGTGCCATAATAGTGTAGCTAGGAAAGGGGGACAAGACCGGAAACCCCAGCCCAGCCCTAGCTCTGGCAACAAGAAAGCCGGTTCAATAATCCAGACCTCTAGCCTCCACCCCAGGCTGATTCTGTCAATCACCAACAGGGACTTCCTAGGGTAGCGTGTGTGTGTGCACGTGTGTGTGCATGTGTGCGCACATGCATGTGCATATGTGCGTGTGCACATGTGTACCTGTGTGTACCTCGGCTTGAACTCAGGGCCTGGATGCCCACCTCCCTTAGTTCTTTGTTGCTCAAGGATGGCACTTTACCACTTGAACCACAACTCCACTTTCAGCTTTTCAGTAATTTATTGGTGATCGAGTCCCACAGACTCTTGTTCAGGCTGGCTTTGAACCATGATCCTCAATCTCAGCCACCTGAGTATCTAGGATTACACTCCCTAGGCGTGAGCCTCCCACCCCCAGCAAGTTATCTCTTTTTTATTATTTTATTTTAAGATTACAGTTACAGCAGTAAGGTAATGAGTACATTTCTTGTCGGGCATTGTTACCCCCAAATTAGCATTTTTTAAGAGCTGCTGACTCTAATGGGTAGCCAAGATTGGGAACTGCTGTTCGACAGAAATAAGTCAAAGGAGCAGTGATTCTGGAAGACGAGATGGCTTACCAGCACTCAGGGGTTCCCGCCCTCTTCCCTGCGGCCATCCCTGGGCCTTGAGAGCCGGGCCATCAGCTCAGTCCCGTAGCTCTGCATTCTGCTCATGGGTGGAGGCGCCCTCCACTCTTGAGTTTCTGGAGTGCCATCCACCACCCACAGCTACCTGACAAGTTCTGCTTCCTCACTTGGAAGCAGACTTTAAAACTCCTTCACTTCATTCCCTCCAGGACATGATTGTTGTACAGCTTGTGGCTACTGCTTTAGGTGGGAATTATTTGCGTGTAGCCTAATTTTACTTCCTTTAAGGCCTACCAAAGCATTTGTGGGATTAGGGTAAAGGTCCAATCAGACTTCTACTTGTTTGGCATTGTTGGGGAATTTTTCTCGTGTGTGTGTGTGTGTGTGTGTGTGTGTGTGTGTGTGTGTGTGTGTGTGTGTGCTGGTATGTGCTGGTAGGGGGGGTTTGAACTCAGGATCTGGAGCTCTCTGTCTCTCAGCTTTTTTCATCCATGGCTGGCACACTACCACTTGAGCTACACCTCTACTACCAGTATTTTTCTAATTCATTGGATATCAGGGTCTTTTGGATTTGTCTTCCCAGGCTGGCTTCAAATGGTGATCCTTAAGTCTCAGACTCCTCAGAAGCTAAGATTACAGATGTGAGCTCTCAGCTCCCAGAGGAATCTGCCTTTTTTTTTAACCCCATCCTCACACTTAGCACACCCACCATCACTTCGTTCGGTAGCAGATGCACCGTGTGTTCTTGGGAAGTCACTGTACACCCAGTCTGGCAGGTGGGATGACTTAGACATGATCCATCATGGTTCAGGGATGAGGCAGTCACTGACAGTGAGCTCTGATGACACGTCTTCTGGTACTGTTAGAAGAGACCTGTCCTCTTTTGCCATTGGACTTGAACCTGGAGGGAAAAGACGGGTGTTCTGTAGCCACTGCATTCCACTAGGGAAGTTAGCCTTATCCCTTATTGTTGACTATAAGACCAACACAGAAGGGAGTACAGTCAAAGTAGAGTAAAATCTGGCCTCAGTGACAGTGTCTGCACTCCTGGATCTAGCCGTGCCTGAAGTTCTATTTTTGTAATGTGAACCAATACAGTCTTATTTTGCTTAAGTTGTCGGATTTTCTGAACTGACAACTGCACACTTTATGGAGCACTTTCTCCCACAGTGTATTATTTAATGTTTGCAATAACTTTGTGGGATGAATATCCATCTCCTTGCTCTATAGATAAGGAAATAAGGTTCAGAACAAGAGAATGATAGGACCAAAATTGCATAGTTTGAAAATGGCAAAGCCAAGATTTAACCTCAGGACTCTCACTCCTCTGTCTGGCGTCTTAAATCATTACACAATATTATCAACCTGTCTAATGGGAAGATGACAGGAGCATTAGAAATAGGAAGCAGAGTGAAAGTTTGCAACTATATCTGCAATATCAGTGAGTGCCTTGCAAAGGAGACACTACACAATTGATCTCTGATGCAGTGCAGATCTATCAGGTAGAAAAGTAAGTGGGATAAAGCCGTGCTCTCTCCATAGAGGGTCAGCCTCGTGATCTGTAACTCTGTACTTTTTCTGCAGGGATGCAAGTTGTAAAATTGCTTCCTCTTCATTATGCTCAGAAAACTGCATTGTTTGACCCAGGATCCTGTCATGTTTTTGCACAAGAATGTTTGAAGAATAGAAGAAAGAGTTGATGCTTTACCACAAGATGGGCGGGAAGAAAAGAAGCTTTGTTTTTATGAGTAGGAAGAAGACGCTCACATGTCAACTTTATCCTGCTTCTCTAGCCTGTCAGGCACTTGTGAAGCAATTTACCATGAGGAAGTGTTGTATTTTTCCCTAGTCTGAAATCCATCTGAGCCCAGTCCCTTTCCTCTCCACCTCAGAAAGAGCAGAGTAACAGATATGGATGGAAGGCCCTGGAGGGGCTGGAAAACTGCATTCCTATTGTCGCCTGAGGAGAATAGGATGGAAAGACAAAGAAGAGACATCTTCTACTCCAGCGATTATGGAAAACTGTGGCTGGAGGGGCCTATGGAAGAAAGAGAGGCCCTCCACCTTGACTTCGGCTTTCAAAAAGTGGTTTGAAGTTGAAACACTGAGGAAATTTTTGTTTTTCATCTCAGATCCAAAGCCCAGGGAGGAAAAGCCATGGAACAGCTAACTCTGTGTCTTAGTCTGCTTTTGGGTACAACTATCATCAAATCCCATATCCAGGCAGAGAGAGAGAGAGATGAAGCCACAGCTGCAACAGCAGCTGGGAGGCTGGAGATTTTGTCCTGCAGTTCTAGTGGGATGTTGGGAATTTATTGCACAGAAATTTGAAGCAATCTTATAAGGCAACACATGTCCTGATGGCTGTGCAGAATGCCTTGTCTTCCCTGGAGGGAACAAAAGAAAAATAGGTGAGCTAAAGACCTCTACATTGCGGTGGGAATCACTAGGATGTGCTGCAGGCTCAGTCAGGCACTGGAACTTGGAGTATTTCTCTCCCTATGTTCATCCATCTTAAAAGAGGGATCTGGATTTCCTTTCCCTATCTGGTTTATCAAAGCATGAGTTTATCTTTCATTGCCCTATTTCTATCAAAAGCCAAAGCAGAAAAGATAGCATCTAACTATGGGCTCAACTACTCTATTTCACTTATGGAATGTTCTTCTGGTTGGGCACTATTGACCAGAACACAGTTATCTTTTCATTTCTCAGCATGTATTCATTATTTAAACACAAGTATAGATTTGCAATCTCTTTAAAAATGTATTTACCTGAAGAGAACAGCCATTTGTAGAAGAAGTAGCAATGCGTAAGAGAATGGATTGCTATTCTCGCCTTTTAAAATTCTCATCCTCAAACAAGACAACTTCAAAGAGCACTTAAATATTTGCTACCACATGAATTAAAAACTCAGATATCGATGAGGCCCAAACATCATATAATAAATAAGTCAGGCTAGGTATATATCCCTCTTGTGTGTCTTTAAACTCACAACTTTTCTTATCTACTTTTTTTTCACTGCAGTGTAATATTGACCTGAAAAACATCTTCTATAAGCTAATGAAAAACGGCAAATGAGCCATCCTTGAGTTAGATAACAAAGTCAGACCCATCTGTTTGCTGCCTTTAAGAAACAAAAAATAAAGACACAACCAACCTGATAGTAAAAGGATGAGAAATAGATTTTCCTTCAAACAGTAAGCATGAAAGGCTATGGTTATATTAATATAACCAAAATAGACTTCAAGACCAAAGTTACTGTTGCAGACACAGCAGCAGGACATCTCACTGATAAACAACACATTCATCAGGAAGACAGAAGAATCTTAAATTTCTTATAACC